AACGGGTGCTGAACCTTCGGAATTAGTTTTAGTGTGCAACTCCTTTACCAAAGTTTGGTACAACCTGTTTAGTCAGAACTGCATACCTGCTCAGGGTTGCCTGGGTACTGATGCTCTGCATACAACTTGAACTGGTGGTAGGTCTGTTGATTCAAAGCCTCCTGAATCTGTCTCCTGTAATGTGTGTTTAAATGTTCCTACTCAGAATTATGGAGTAATAAGGCAATCAACATGCATCTCACACTCAAGGACTCCCTCCACAGGGTGTCCCACAGATTGCTGCTTACCTTCATCACAAAGATAAACTTCAGCAACTTCCTTCAATGATATAAACTTGTTCATCTCTAATCTTCTGGGTTTCATTAACAACACTACATCAACTACTGGGGCCATGCAGCATCAATGATATGAATGGTTATAATCAGACACCATGACAAGAGATTCTGATTGCTTGATTAACTTTTTTATCATACAGTGGGGTAGCTCAATCAGCACAGTGACTGACTATGGATTGGACGACCAGGGTTCAATCCCCAGCAGGGACAGCCAACATGGAGTGGCCAACCAGCTTGGGGGCTGATCAGGGGGCTAACAATTTCCCATCATAAAAAACTGCATGTTACACAATTTTAAATAGGGCCTCAGTCTTGAGCAGTTTCTTTGGAATAACCAAGCAAAAGAAAATGGTCATGAGATGTGAAACTTGGAAAAGTCAAGAGTCTCTATAAGCCAAGTTCTTTCAAATCAAGAAATTTAGCAAAATATAGATTTAGTGTGAGGTGGGGAACCCAGTAAGTATACGACTGGCTATGGGCTGTGCGATCAGGGTTCATTCCCTGACAGAGGCAAAGGATTTTCTTCTAAGCCTCTGTGTCCAAACCGACGCTGTGGCCCACCCAGTCTCCTGTCCTGCCCTGGTTGGGGAGTGATGCTGACCATTCACCCCTTTATACAGCCGAGGATGAGAATGAGTTGGAGCTATACCTCTTCTCCACTAAGTGCCAACATTGGCATGTAACAGAATAGTAAAAAAAAGTTGGAATTAGTGAGAGAACATTCCACAAGCCCATACATTGTTACAATGCAAAAGTCCATCACACACTGTCACCACTATGAGACCACCAAATCTCATATAATCATCAACTTACAAGTTCTGTATGAAATGATATGTTTTATTGTTGTTCTTTCTTGGCTCTACAACCCAGTTGTGGGTTTTCGCCCCCTCTTCCTTTTCGGAGGTTTCATGGTCTTGAAGTGTACATTTGAGAGTAGTGAGTGACCAGCCCACTGACTCTGCATAATTTCTACTCAATCCTGATTTGACTTCCAGAGCCATCTAGCAGTGAATCAGGAGACATGGGTGAGAAATGGCTGCTGAATTTTGCTTACAAAACATCTCATTCGTGCTTGTAAGGTTATTTTACATGCCGTAAATCTACAACATGGGACATCCAGCTTTACTTCCCCTCCGAAGGAAGTCATGCTACAGATTTTATCACCCTTAAAAATCCATCGACCTCAGCCGAGTTTGAACCCGTGAACCTTGGGTCCGGTGGCAAGCACGCTAACTACTAATCCACCGAGGGTGACTTGTAAATTTTATTAAAACCTACAAACATGAGAACAGAAAAAAACTGTGGTGTTATACCTGACAGCTTTCAGATAGTGGAAATCTAGACAAAGCAAATACTAGATACAGAAACATATTTATATATTATTCAATTTCTAACTCATAATTCCTGTTAACCTCTTTGCATAAATGGAAATATTTGAAGTAGACTGGGTGGGCATCACAAAGTCTGCTCTGAACTTCTTCCTACAATAATATTAGTTAAAGTATACAGAATAAGCACAAATTATCTTGCATTCAGTTACTCTGATAAAAGATTTCTCATCAATATGACAGCTGATTGTTGTTCACATTTATCAAGTACAAATGAAGCTAAACAGCAGCCAAACTTCATGTGTACGACTGCCATTACTTACCTCTGAGCCTCCTGCTTGGCACGGTCCTCCTCCTCACGCTGGCGCTCCTCCTCTTCCAGCCTCAGTCGTGCTGCCTCTTCTTGGCGAGCTGCTTCTTCCTCACGACTGCAACATCACCAAAATACAGAATAAAAATCCTCCAAGTACAGCTTTACGATTCAGCAACCAGTAATTTAAGAATCTTGTTTTAAGAAAGTGTTCTAATGTATTTACACTACTTATCAACATGCCAAAGTTGTACTAGCAAAGTTAAAACAAATAGTTTGGTTCATATTTGGAAACAATTTTATTTTTCACCAACAAATATAAATTCAAACAGGTTAAATTAATTCAATTTACTTCACACCAGGCTTCTATTTATACTCATATTTATGAGACACCTAACATTCATCACCATGCTTACAAATGCCCTGCGCTGCATCAGTTCTCTTGAAGCTAATATGAATAAACAAAATACAATTCTGTAACAAGTTTGGCAGAAGACTGTATCTTCTGGATACGTGCTAAAGAGGTTCAAATGCATGGTCAATGCGTTATAAAGTTGTTTCATCCTCCAAGAACATTACGTAAGACACAACTGATATAACCTCAGATAACATAAAGATACTCCCAACAGAAAAGTACAAAGTTAACTTAGAGGACATAACATGAAACTGGGGACATACTGTGATTGGGAGCAATATTGAAGTTCAAGCAATGGCAAACATTACCACTTAATGTTGTTTATCAACTTCTCTTCCATATGCGGTCAGTAGCTGTAAACACATTAACAGTTCTGGAAGGCTAACAAGAGGTGGTCCAGTAAGCTGTCATGTTGGGCATGAGGATCACAACACTAAAATCTAGCACTGCACAAAATGTGACAACCATCATGGGACTTGGACATGACCTATGACGTGGGGGAAAAAAAGACACAATTCAAACTGCTAGTCACAAAATCACAAGAGTCCATAGGTAAGACCTGAAATAGATTGGGGATTAATATCAAAACAGGTCCTGAAGAAGTAGGATGTGAGACTGGACTGAACTGATTCAAGGGTTTAATATGGCATCTTTGCAACCACAGTAATAAACCTCTGGATTCCTTAAAAGCAGCAAATTTCTGGCTGTGTAACTATAAACACTTCAAAGAAGGATTTGAACCTTAAAATTATTTAAAGAATGATAGCCAGCGAAGAAAACACGAAATTTTAAAAGAGCCTCTGAAAGACAGAGAAGCCAGAAACTACTATTTAAGACAGCTATTGGTTTCAATATATGTACACAAAAAACATGAATTCAAAACTGAAAGGGGATCAAGGCAGGGACTCTACAGAAGAGCCTATTGTCTATCTACTAGAAAGAAGGCTTAATGGTCAAAGGGCTATTCTGGAAATGGATATAAAAGAAAAATTTTCAACATCCTACACAAATCTGCAGAAGCGTGTGAATGAGAATGAGGCACTGTACATTAAACCAGTTCACATTCCCACAAACTGTTTCTGCAATATAATATTTACATCTTTCATAATCTTCCAAGATTCCTCACCAAAAATCTAGATGCATTTCAAAGTATGGAGCTACACCTCCACTCCCATTCCCCCATACAGCTGCATGGTATGGTGCTTAATTAAGCAGGGACAATACCTTACTTTACTTGTATCTTGTTTCCTCCAAGAGACATCTTATTCTAACCCCTCTTCCTCCTAAGACATGTGTCGTCATCCCACAATCAAGCCATTTCATCTATTTCTGTCTTTAACACAGTTCCTCCTCCTCAATTTCTTCCACTGTTCTTCCTTCCTTCTGTTGTTCTCATCGTGATTTTGGTCTCTTATTAGCATATTCCTTTTAAGTAGAATTTAAGGTTCTCACAGTGGCAAGTATGAAGACGGCCATCTTCTGGATTGTAGGGCCATACAGCATGGTAGACGTTTACTGATGTTTCAGAAGTAATTGCTGCCTCCATCATTAGAGTGATTGCCCTGATAATGGAGACAGAATGTACCACTACAACATCGGTAAATATCTACCAGACTATACGGCGCTACACCCAAAAGACAGCCATCTTTGTACTCACTGCTCTGAGAACCTCAAATCCTTCTTGGTGATTCTCTCTTCATTCAATTTTAAAACATATGCATACCACTTACATCTGTAATTTGTTAATTTGCTTTCCAAGTTGTTTATCCTTAAATATTCTATATATTTTTTTAATTTCTTATTGTCTACCTTTTGGATTTTCCTTTTACACTCAAAAAATTTCATCTCAGTTGTCATCCCTGTCCAAGTTTCTGCTTCATGCATTAATATGGGCATGTAGTATTTTTTAAATAGCAACATTTTTCCTTTCATACAAGAATATGGTCCAGATAGGTCAAAACCTCTCTTGAAATTTTGCTCAGTTACACAGCCATCTTGTAATGACTGTACATAAAATTCCATCTGCAAGTGTGCAAAATGTATGCTTTATTACGCAATGTACAGTACAGATTCATGCCACCGTACATGCACATGATGGCAGTGTGCTCTGAAATTATGAGTATAATAATTACTAGAAGGGTTCTTTACACGAATAAAATTTCTGTTAAGGTTTTTACCTGCTCGACTGGACCATTCGCTTGTTAGACGTTTCCTATTGCCAGGGCATGTATCTAACTAACTGGTAAAATATTCCCAAGGGTTTTATTTAATGATTACCGTACTTTATCTTTTCAATGCCCCCCCTTTCCATCTTTCTTTCATAAGAATAAATTTAAATTTAATCTAATATTTTTACACACTGTAACAATGCTATGAAATTAATTCTCTGACATGTTTTTAGCTACAAAATACACACATAATTACTTTTCTCTCAATTTATAAACTTGACAATAACAGATAAAAAGCTGTTACTCACGCAACTCTTTTACGTTCCTCCACATCCCACTTGTGTGCCTCCACAAAATGTCTGAACATTGGACACAGCTTGTCGAGCAACTCGACAAAGCCTGCCATTGCTTCATACTGATTTGCGCCACCCAACGCCTGCCATGCCAGACTGCAGAAAACACAACCTTATCAACATTTAAAGATGAACATATAATAGCCCAGAACTACACAAAATGAAATTATTTTTTATTTAGTGTTCTGTCTGACGACAGGTCCATATGAGCAGGATCCTTCCATCCTTTTCTCGGACTGGGACCTGTTCATATACGTTCTTGGCAGATGATCCAGAAGTGGTTTGCCATTGCTTTCTTCTGTGTGTGAATGGAGTAATTGTTGGGATGCCACGGAGAAACCGGGGAAGCCCCGGAGGAAAACTCGGTGTTGCCTAGACCACGGCCTTGCCCAACACAAGTTATAAATTCGGGCACCGCCGGGAATTGAACCCGAGACCCCAGGATTACAAGGCCAGCGTTCTAACCGCTAGACTCTATTAGTAGAAAATAAATACTCCAACTTTGAAATCATGTACGAGTATGTAGGATTTCATATAATGTTAGATCTATTGAGACTTCCTTACATGGCTTCAGTAAAGGAATAATCAAACATGTCAAAGTTAAGTGACACAAACATACCGCCTGTCTCGCCCAATCACATCCAGAACTCCTAAAGGGGGCAGAGTGTCTGGGTTGAACTTGCCATGGCTTACTTGACATATGTAGGCTACAAGTTTTAATTTGTCTTCATATGATAGATGAACAGCTTTCCCTTCTTTCTCTGCAAACAAACAAGTTCTAAATTGAGAAAAAGAAAAATCACAAAAACCACTCATGCACTGGGTGCATATCACCATTCTGTTTTAAAGGAATGTAACAATATCCAGCAAAAAGTGACTCTTATTCATATCTCATTTACAGCTGATTCCATGAGCCCAATGCTAACCGTATGTACCACATTCTCTATTAATAGCCCTACATTTTGTACTTACAGATTTTGTAAGATTATCACTGTAAACAGGAATCATCTCTTTAAACAGCATTAACAAGATGATCTTTGTAATGGAGAAGTCTCATCTTTTCTTGGGGCATAAACTAAATTCTTAAATATTATTTAGATGTGCTTTGGTTTAATTAGTGATAGTGTGGTTCTCTATTCCAATTTATTTTGCTTGCAAACTATACAAAATTACAAATACAGGAAACAAAACTTGGAAAGAGATCTGGAGTTAAGTAGGTTAGAATTATTTTTTGGCATGGAATTCTTAACTCATGCACTAAAGAACGAATGTTTTGTACCACACCTCCTACTTAAAGGCAGAAAGTGGATTTTGATTAACTTAGGTTCTCAACATGTATTTCTCTCCCATTTTCCATGGTTTGATTAATGACATTTTGTTGGTGAGAAAGCTCTCAAAATTTCCAGTGCTTGAAGTACAGATACAAAATGTCTTACCTTCTCATATTTCAAAGTGCCTGGCTAGGCCTTTCCCCTCCAAAATTCTGCATGCATCTCTTTCCTCTCCCATACATTAAACACGTAACCTTCAATACACTTCAACCACTTATTAATCGCAATACTAAATCACCACCGTCTAAACCAACCTTCCTTCCAATGCCAGATATCTTTAAACATTCAATTAAATTAGGCAGGTGAGGAAGTAATACCTTCTCCGTTTCTCAAAACAAAATGTAACTTTGCAGCAACCCAAGTTTGTCCGTTACAGAATGTGTCCTGTTCCAAACTGTCCTCTTTTCTTGAATAAACCAAATTACATTTTATACAAGTGACACAAACATGCACAACTACTCACCAGTTTTATTAGCATAACCATTCATCACAGGAGTTCCTGCAGAACATGCCCTGCAAAGTGTGCTAACAATCGTTACCGGGCCTAACCAACATCTTTTGGAAATGAATATACAATCCATTGCATCAGGCATAAAAGTGAATTACCTACCTTTATAAAATCTTAAGGCGAGACGATACAAATCTTTCAACCTAAATCCCCATTTCTGAATTGACTCTTCGTTCTCCTTATTAAAATCTCCTTCTATGTTTGAATGGTTTAAACTATCCTCTGAACCAATACTCAATCGATCTCCGTTATAATAAACTCGACACGCTTCTCTATCAGCCGCCATTGTCATACACGTCTACCGGTTTTCATTGAAGTACTAATTTAATAAACGAAAGATGATGCACTAATTATATCATGTGCTATTCACTTAACAATTTAACGAATTTTTAAATTCGGTGTTTCGAATTAATCCATATAGGAACTCCCAATTAAATTTAAATACTTAAATTTTCGAACACAATGGTGCAGACAAGAGAAGATTTCTGCTTTGAAGGGGGGGGGGGTGAATACGCCCATAAAATAAGAAACTGTACACGTGTGCATGTATTGCATATTCGTACGTAGTCTTTGTTTCTTATGAAGTCGAATTATTTCATTCAATTATGCATTATTTAGAATATGTGGCTTTTCGATATGCACGGATCTATGGAATGTAAATAAATTCTATTCTATTCTATTCTGTTGCCACTCGACTTACTGGTAGAAATTATGATAAATACTTTAATAGGCTTCTTTTTCTTTTTCACCTTTTACCATCTGCCGTGTTTTGTTTCACAATTAATTCTATATGCATACTGTACGGCTCCTTGGGCAGAGGATCCGAACATTGCAAGGCCCCTGCATAACAGGAGAAAACAACAAAGAAAAACATTGGTGTCTATCCATCCCATAAGTGATATTCAAACCCATGATCCATGTTTAAGCAGTCAAAAACAGTACATACCTTAAACAAAATGACCATTGTACTAGCTTTATTATTCACACTGCAGTATTTAAAGGAAAATAGACATTACAAGTTCTCCTCAGGGCATCTTTGTCATTACTCGTGAAAGCATCAAAGTCATTTTTATGTAGTATCTTGTAACACCAAAGTATTTCAAGATAACATCTTCAAATCACACAGAATACAAAGTTCTGCCTTCAACTTTACTGACATCAGGATGTCACAGTTAACCTTTAAAGGCCCAGCATGACTTTTAAAACAGCATTGGTATTCCTGGTTGGCCCACCATGGACTTTAGGACATAGCACACATCACACAATGTAACATGGATTTGTGATCATTGCATTATGTTCTAATCCATTTAAAAATTTTCAGTGTACTCTAGAAGGACAATCACATAACCTTCATAGTTTTTCTTGTCAAAAAGGCCCTTTCCTTTCTTTTATAAATATTTATATTACAGCCTCCCTTACCAAGTAACAGCTAAGATTTGTAAGTGGGAATTACCTCCTTATTTTTGGCTGTAAGGCATTTCAATAATTTGATCTGAAAGGGCACAACTGAACTACTGATTTCACACTGATATATGGTCCTGAAACCTTTTGCTGTATTTAGTTTATTTTTATGCTGATTAAAACAAAGAGTGCAGTTCCAAAGATCCATATGTGTATGCTTCATTCAGGGATTTTATGCAATTAAATACTTTTGTAATTTTCTTGTACAATATTGGGGTTTCACTGAAGCAATAAATTCTAGAAGGGTTTGTCATTTACTGGCATGCTAATATATGCCAACTCTGATGTAATTGTTAATTTCAATCTACCTTTATCATGGGTATTGTCTACTGTTCAGAATGAGTTGCAGATGATAGTATGTGGACAGAAGTAATAGTAGTAGACAGGTATAAGGACTTACAGAACCCAGTGGTCTATGAAAGCTGAGAAGTGTATGTACACAAATTTGCAACACTTCCCACTCCCACCAATGATCTCTACAACAGGAAAATTGTTTTTGTAACAATGTTTGACATAACAGAAGGAAAACCCCAAAATTTTGGCCCTAGGACCCTGAAAAGAAAGAAATGGGATTGTGTTTATTACAGTAATATCGCAGCAGTGTGCTGGAAAGAAAAGAGAGGCAATTACAGCCATAGCCAACAGGAGTTTGGTGTGAATAATGCTCTGAAAAACAAAGTAGTGCAAACTACATGAGCTCTGTGGATACAAGTGAGAGGATGGGCAAGAGGTCCAGCATAAGTCACAGAACTTCAACTGAACAAAAAAAACTTTTATTTTGTTGTCATAAATTACTTTATAATACAGAAGCCACATGAACTGAAATGATCCACTTCCAATTCAAGAAACAATCTGTTTGTGACCTATTCCTTGCAGCGGAAAAGGGAACACAATGACAGCTATATGAGCCAGACCTGGTACCGAGTAATGAACATGTTATCCAATCGGAAAGCTGGGCTAAAAACAGTGAGAACATCACTCTAAATACCAGGCCCAATTGGATAGCGTGCAGCCAATAACACGAAACTGGGTCAGGCAGACAATGAGCACAGACAGGATCTCCCACAACTACAGTACCCTGAGGATGAGGACAAAGATGGTTCTCAAAACTTTATTTTCTTCATTAAGACATCTTACACGGCTGGTAGCCTGATAAGAATTTATTATAAAGTAAACTTTTGTGTATAATGTGTATTTTAATTTATTGCTGTACGTGGGTTTTTAATAAAGATATATTTTTTCACAGCAACACCTACACAGTATCCCGTAACTACAGGATTTAAATTGGGGCAGCAGGAGATATAGGGATTCAAAAGCCTCGTACTTTTAGAAATGGCAATTGCATAAAATGTTTTTTCTTCGAGACACACTACAATCCTTCACAAAAGTATGCACACTTATTTATATCACTTAAACAGAACAGGATTATGTGGAAGTAATGATAAAGCCTGACTAATGTTTTAAATGATTTTCCTGTCTCTCCAGGTAAATGGCGAGATATTACTTTCAAACAGATCATAACTGGCAATTTCCAGATCTTACAGTTTATGATAATCTTTCAATATAATTTGACACTACATAATCATTGTATTCGAAACAGTGCCCCTAAACAGCCTAAGATTCTCTAACACAGAACAAAGTTACTCCAGAGAGTAGAGCCCATGAGAAACTGTTCATCACTCAGCTAGTTAAGGTATGAAATTCACCTGAATTTATGGAACCTGAAAGTTCATTACCATTTTCAAAAAACCAACCATCAAACCTTGAACATTCACAAAAATATGAAGGGTTTGAGATTTTCACGACAGTGAGTATGAAGATGACAGTCTACTTTCCACAAAAGTATGATTAAATTTTGTGTACATACAGCAAGAAGTAAGCAAATTATAATAATACTTTCCAATAAACACACATTAGCACATTAGGTCACATTTTAGTCTAAAGATGATTCACACTTATTTGAAGAGCCTTACAGCCATAAGGCAGCCCTCTAAGTTGAGAAAACCAGGAATTTCCTAACTTTACCCATGGTATCGGCTATACAATTTTTGGGTATTCACTATTCATATTCCGTTCTAGCGTTTCTTGGCTGTAAACAAAATCATAGCGACTTGTGTGGAGCACGTGAGATAACAACAAGGCAGGGCATCAGCCCTTCACAATGTAAAGTGAGCAGAAGCTGGCTGTATCACTTTACGAAGAGGAAAGAACTATCACTTAGAAGACAAACATCGCTAAGCCAGAGAATGCCAAAAGATTATGTTTCACAAATTTTTAATCGGACAGAGAAAAAACAATAGCTACTTGTTATCACAAATATCCAATGCAGCTCAAAATCCTTCGTACTTCTACACGCAAAGAAACATGACGTCAAAGGGAAAGGGGAAAAGAGCTTAAATATCTGCAGGAGTGGAAAAGCAGCGTTGTACTGTGATGTTCACAATAACTGACAACCATCTCCGATTGTGTGGGACAGTTTTGCGGGCATGACATGAAGAGAATCCTTATAGAAATGAAAACTGATCTGGCAGTCATTCCTGGAGGGTTAACGTTGATAATAGGAAATGCATTTCGTTGTTAAAGGCACATAATTTTTCCTTGCATAAATCACACACTTCAAAAAACTACAGAAAATATGTGCAAGAATTACACAAATATGGTATTCCCCAGAAGGAAAATAAAAGAAGAATTTTCAAATATAAATATATAGAATAAACCCAGTAAAATATTTCACATTATGTACAATTTGAGAAATAACGAGACTGCTGGCATCCAGACTCATAGTGAAGGTCATAGGCTTACTTCACCATTTCTTGGTAAATAAAAGGGCATAGATGGTTTTTATGAAACACTGAAATAAGGACATGAAGAACCTAATTCAGTCTGCAATACTACATAAGTGAGGTGGAATCCTCATCAGAATGACTTAAAATGGTGCTGTGGGCGTCCTGACTGCATCCTTGTTGCACCTTGACGGCTATGGTATATGGGTTGCTGGCAGTAACTGGTACCACCACTCCTTCAGGCTGAACAACAAAGAAAATTTACCCAGGATAATGGCAAAGTGAAGAAATTACAATAACATTATCCATCACCTTAATATAAGGAGGGGACATACAACTAGTTCTATCAATTGGGCCCAACAGAGTAGGTTTTACCTGAGGATGGAGACTCGTCTCCAAAAAAATCACATTTTAACTATATTGAGATGATGGATGATGCTCAGGAAGTTTGTTATTTTAATAATACATGATCACCACAAACCTACAGATTAAATGAAAAATTAGATCTTAAACTGTATAACCCTGGTACAGGGATATTTCTAGACAGCTTGATGTTTAACGCATAATATATTTTGTCCACTGACAGAATGTTCAAACAATCCACAGACTTTTCACTACTGCTGTATCTCTCACACTAAGTCTCTATTTACATGTACATTTCCAGTCACCCAAAACAACAACTTCCTATAACAAAAGTCTTCCTGTTTTAAGTTCTTTCTCAATTTTAGGACACAGTCACAGGAGAATTATCACATACCTGCACCTACCTGAAAAAAATCATTGTCAAACACCATTGCTGCACATTAAAACAATGGTTTCAGCTATTTCCGAATAATTGCAAATTTCTTCATAAGACTTCCCACGCACAGTACCTCCCAAACCTCCCCACCTTAGATAGTGAGGTGGACACAAAAATTTATCTTACATACCTTCCAGGACATTTCAGGTACCTAGGAAGGAATGTGCAAATGGGGACTAAGTGATTCAGAAGGTGGTGCAGATTTGAAGCAGTGAACTGAAACAGAGGAAATAAGACAGCGTGGGTGGAAAGGTACTGTCTATGAATACATTCACAAGGATAGAGCCAGGGCATCGAGAATGTTGAATGTCATAGGGTATCATACCAGCATCTACATGGAGGGACTGAGGACAACTACAAAAGAACTCAGGACAGACAGTTTCCAGGCAGAGGTTTGAAACTGGAACTTCCAAAATATGACATTTGAGTGTTAATCACTTGGCTGTGACATTCAGTCACGTTACTGTCACGAAGACTCCATGCTAATGAAGAGACTAAGGACATAATATGAGAATCCTACCTTATTGCTGACTTTTGACTTTTCTTCGAGGGCCAATAAATGTATGTGTTCATTGACTTGGATGGAGGCACCATCACTCATCAATCGTAGCAGCACACGCGCAATGTTCCGAGCATCATCAAGCCCACAATGCGGCCGCCCCTCAAAATTAAGTTCCAGGTGTTCAAGCATCAGCTTCAAACTGAACTGAAAAGAAAAGTAAGAATGAGACAAGAAGAATAACACAAGATGCCACAAAATTTCCTTTAACTACCAATATGCTTCTAGGTTAGAAGAAAAAGCAACCTGTTTAGAAATTGCAGCAACCAATAATGCAAAAGAAACAGAAACACTTGAATAAACACCTTCCACAATATTAGGTAAACAGTCAGTCAGTCTCTCTTTCTCTATGGTGCAAGGTATTCTTTGGAAAGTCGATTGATATTCAGCTTGTCAAAGAATAACCTACTTTCTTTATGGAACCCGAAGGTTCATAACCATGTTCACAAAAGCCCACTACTGAAATCTCTCCTGAGCTAGCTTCATCCAGTTGGCTCCGTCCATTCCTATCTCTGTAAGGTCCATCTTAATGTTATTCTCCCACCCATGCCTACATCATTCCAGCAGTCTCCTCCCCTCAGGCCTCCCAATCAATACCCTGTAAACACCCCTCCCCCATTATGCAATTTTCTCCATGATCCGTCTTCCTCTCTTTTAGGTTCAAATATCTTCCTCAACACTCCGTTCTCAAAAACCCTCAATCTATGCTCCTCCCTCAAAGTGAGAGACCAAGTTTCGCAATACAGCACAACTGGCAAAATCACACTTTTGTATATTTTAATCTTTAGTTTTTTGATAAGAGATGGGAGGACAAAAGTTTTTGGACTGAATAATAGCAAGCATTACCTGAATTTAAACTGCTCTTGATTTTGTCATTCTAGCCCTTTTAAAAGACTTTCTGTGTTTGCTTATATAGTATTTATATTATCGCCAACAGACTGACATCAACAGCTGATGTGTTCCATTCAATTCCAAACCACCCTGATTTTCCTAAACCTTCCTGATAGCATATTCTAAGCAAAACTGAAAAGCAGGGGCGAAAGAGTATCTCCCTGTCTCGGGCCATTCTAAATAGGATACGTATCAGACAAATGTCTGCCTACACAAACTTGGCTACAGGTTTCACTTAAACACATTTTACTTAGCCTGACTGGCATCTTAGGTAAACCAAATTCAAGCGAAATGCTGGAAAGAGCTTACAAAATGAGAAATTCCTGCAAGTAGAACAGAACTGACATGAAAAATGGGAGTGCTCATGACAAAACTACATACGGCACTGTCTAGTCCACACTGGGCAATACATGTCATGGAGCATGGATATTCAGTCCCACGTGTTAACCTTGGAAACAGAGGGGTGAGCCATCTTCTTCTTTGATACGCCGTCCCCTTTACAGGAGGTTGGCGACATTTTATGAAAAGGATCCTTCCATCCTTTTCTCGGACTGGGACCTGTTCATATATGTTTTTTAGGCAGGTGATACAGAAGTGGTTTGCCGTTGCCTTCTTCTGTGTGTGAATGGAGTAATTGTTGAGATGTCACGGAGAAACCGGGGAAGCCCCGGAGGAAAACTCTGTGTTGTCTAGACCACGGCCTTGCCCAACACGTTATAAATTCGGGCACCGCCGGGAATCGAACCTAGGACCCCAGGATTACAAGGCCACCATGGCGGTCAGTGAGCCATCACATTTCTATTAATTTACTCCTATAAAAAACAACTAAGTACTTGATAATTAAACCGATGAAAATAAATAAAGGAAAGAATATTTTGTCAAGCCTGGCAGTTTTCATCCAAGTAACGTTTACTGTAAACCACAGCAGTGGGACTACATAATACACACCCTCCTGCACTTGTAGAAGTTACTGAATGTCTTCCTGACGTTGATCCATTTCTTTGCAAACTGTGGATATGCAAGCCCGGAGATCTGTGAACATTACCCAAATTAAGCGATTAATACTGCTGCATCAGAAGTCTAATCACGGCATTTTGCATTCTGATACACTGCGCAAGTTAAATTAAACACAAGCCTATCTGTAATCACCTAGTTCTTGTATGACAATGGCAACTGTATACTTCAAATACTCGTTTCATCTAATGCAATAAAATTCAAATCTGTACTGAACTTGATAGATATTTAAGACTTTCTGTAAATTCATTTATGTCTTCAAATGAAAGTCCTTATAGTCATCACCACAGCAACATTAATAATTGACAATGCACAAAGAAGAAACAGCAATGACCAGCAACATGATCAGGGTTTTCTCATTAACTGTGAGAAATTGCTACAAAATTATCTTATATTCCCAAATCTTACTAATTTGAAAAGTTCCCCAGCTGCGATTAATTAGAGTTCTTCCATGTGTCTCCTGGGAAGTGCATTATATTAGATCATGACCACATTTCCCAGGTTCACAATATCATGATACCTTGCACTGTCCATACATGAAGCGCCCCATGTCCCAAGGCCCATCAGTCACGATAGTGAACTTGTGTTTTGAGCCCAATTTGTGTTTGGCAAGCCAGGCCTCAAAGTCTTTCAGCACCTGTGGGAAGGTGTCAGCAGCATCTACCTCCTCCTGACTGATACCTGTGAGCTCCATGCAGAACCCAGAGAGTGTTGGGTTGACTAGAGGCCGGCAGTATGCCTGGAAGTGGTCTACCACCTGTTGCTGCTCTGTGCTGACGAGCACTGCCGGGAACTCAATGATCTCATGCCTGGGGAGATAACTCAAAATTTAGTACATCCAGTATTATGAATTGTCAAAATTCTCCATTTTATTCTCTCAGATTGGGTTATAATGTTGGTAATTATCTTCTACAGGATGGTAGAAAAAGCAATTCATACTTTACTTGTTTGTTTAGACAAGAGTTGTATGTTTTGTTACAACTATTATAACAACAACTCTGTACAGCAATGACCTTCTTGAGAAGCTGACTGCATGCTTGTCTAGTCAAGAAATTCAATGTATCTTACAAAACCCAAATGTTTGTAGTACAGTGTGTCCACAAAGTCCCTTTGGGGTTTTGAAAAATTGTGGCGCGCAAACAAATTGAGCTAGCCACATGCAGTTTGCGGCAGATTACAGTGAAACTCGGGAAGTTTTTTACTGACCTCAGTAGACCTCGATGTGGGCTCCCTTGGTAGCACAGCGAACGTCCAGACGATATTCGACCTCTTGCCATGTTCTGTGGAGCATGTCCGCTGAGCTCGAATATCGTCTGGACGTTCGCTGTGCTACCAAGGGAGCCCACATCGAGGTCTACTGAAGTCAGTAAAAAACTTCCAGAGTTTCACTGTAATCTGCTGCAAACCGCATGTGGCTAGCTCAATTTGTTTGCGCGCCACAATTTTTCAAAACCCCGAAGGGATTTTGTGGACACACTGTATTAATTTTATTAGAATATCACTTTTCAAAGTAACAGCTTTCCTTTATGACCGTATCTCGCATAACCAGTCAAGAATGCTCCAAAAGACTTAAGAGTTCTTATTTTTTATAATGGTGGATGAAATGTGTGTTGTTAGAAATGACTAATAATGCTTTTCTAGAGCATGCAAGTAGACAAGTATATAGAATCAAAGCACAAATAATCATATTCTTGAGATTCAGTAAGTTCACGCTTCTCAACATATTCAGGAAATGTGTGTACCTTAATAACATCTGAAAACTTTACTTTCAAATCAAATGTTCTTAAGAATTAATTTTAGATTAGACATAAATCAGCAATTCTGACTATGTAGTTTATATTGTTTATATGGCTTGAATTTTATGAAAATATGAAAAACTCATTTCTGTCATGGAATAGTCCATTTTCATCAAAGTCACCAATATTAAATCTCAAATGAAACTCTGTTCATCCCTCTCATATCCATGAGATTACTCAATGACGAGGGGCAAATTTGATAAGCCTGTCACCTTGAACACACAAATTTTTGTCCAAAGAAACTTGAAAAGAGTCCTCCCAATTATTGCTCTACGAACATGTAAATTTTAAGATATGCCATAAAAATATACATTTGTGCTCTTAGGAGAAAAAGTCTGATACTAGAACAGACAAATAAATGGAAGAATGCACATCAGTTTTGTATCCTGAGTTGCTATGTCAAAATAACCACTAAAAGAAGGTACAACGAGACCATATTCACCAGTTTCAGTCAGGCCAGATCAAATAGAAAATTAATTTAATACAAATCTATGCAAGTCTGAATTTGAAGTAAGTTTTAACACATATTTTGCAATGCATTTCAAGTCCTTAGAATTTTGTTATGAGGTATACGAATAACAGTATAGACAGTGAACTGGGAATTCATTTCAACATGTTCTTTCGTCTCTTTGTCTCTCCTGCTCATGGTGTTCCATATATTATATAACAAACAACCAAATCTTACGGGTAATCCGGAACATTAACCCCTTCACACGTTGCCTCAAAGTCAACAATCACATAGTAAGGTAAAAGCTTGACGGCTGTAGGCAGGTTGGCACTTTTTAGCTTCTGCTTCTTGTAATAGTTTTTGAGTCGTGTTTTCAAAACATCACAGTTGCCCTCTGAGCTCAACTTCAGTCTTTTAAGCCTTGACACTATTGCAACCTTGCTCATTTGGTTAATGCGCCCATTCAACCTGGACAGTTCCTTGTAAACAGAGTCACTGTATTGAGAACTCTCTCCCTTGCACTGGAAACAGAACATAGTCTACATTAAACTTTCTAGTGTGATTAATTCTGAGTAACATGTAAGAGGGTGAGGACTGCCCACTCTCACTTGAGGCTGTCGCTTTAATTCCAATATTATCATCTCCAGCATTTCCTTACTTCTTAGATCAGGTCACGACTGTGTATGTTAGGTCTTGCATTCAATCTAGAAGTAAATCATTCACTGTTATTCTAATCTGATGATTTTGGTGGTCACCGAGGCCATCCCGTTCTATGCTGGCACCTCTATATGTCATTTAAAAGATTTCACTCAAACATACGTGTTAATTATGCATATGGATATGTTATCAAAGCTCAGTTCTTAACTAAGCAGAGACAGAACTTTACTTTAACTGTAACTAGAAACATCATAACTGAGAACATTGCCCATTTACCTCAGCACTTTTACATTCAGATACTGTACCCTTCATATGCTGAAGAATTTTGAAAAAATTCTAAACTCTTAGCAAACTATTTCAATACTTCTTAACAACTATAGAATGAATGAACAATAATACTATAACTATAACAACAGAAGATGCAACAAAGTACCTTACTTAAGCAATCTGTAAAAGCCTTCCAAACATAAATCTTATGCCCACAACAGTAGTGTTAGTGTAATATCATGTGTTATTTCTAAAGCGTTTGCATGTGTAAATCATAAATTATTATTGTCAGAACTATATTTTTATGGAATAAAATATAGCTGGTCAGTGGTTTAAATCATACCTTAATGACAGAATGAAACAAGTAGAAATAAAATCACCAGATTCAAATAATGGCACCTATTCAAATTAGGGCATTATAAAACATGGACTTCCTCAAGGTTCAGTACTTGGCCCTGTGCCCCAACCATTAACCATCAATCTAAACCCATACTTTTTCTGGATGGTACTAAAATTATTATTTCACATCCAAAAACTGCTTCAAAATTTTCATTAATGACATCTTTGATTGACTGAACAAATTAATTACAGCACATTAAATTCTGACAAAACAAATTTCATGAAATTTTGTACAACCAACTAAAATTGTTAACCTAAGTATACAGTATGAGGATAAAACAATTGAAGAAGCAAAAACAAGTAAACTTCTTGGCCTACAAATTAACAATAACTTAAATTGGAAAACACATATTCAATACATTATGCCTAAACGAAGATCAGCTTCCTTTACTATTAGAACTATAACATCACTAAAACAAAATAAACTTTAAAATTAGTCTACTTTGTTTACATCCATTCGATTATGTCATATGGAATTATTTTCTGGGGAAACTCGACAGCAAAATACTTTTTTACATTAGAATAATGATAGACACTGAAAGAAGAGTATAATGTAGGGAGAATTAAGAAATACAATATTCTTTCACTCGCCAGAAAATGTCTGTTCTCATTAACATCATCTATATTTGACAACATAGAGAAATGTAAAACTCAAATATCCACAATGTGAGTACAAGATACAGATATAACCTTCATATGCCAAACCCTAACCTCAGTAAATACCAGAAAGGAGTATGCTATACTGCACATACGCTTTTCAATAGTCTTCCCCTCTATAAAAAGTTAGAATCACAATATAAATAAGTTTAAACCAGCATTAAAAAAGTATATCTTATCTCATCCTCCATAGCACAATTAATCTTCAACCAAAAATTCTCAGCAATTATAAATTCGTGTAAGCAATAGTGGTGATGCTTTCTTGTGTAATTATTTTTACGGTAATACTGTAATAAGCTGCAAATTACTGTCATAACTATGTAACTTATGTTTGCATTAGATACGACTATCGTATTTGTGCTATGTCGTTTGATATCCTTGGCTTAGGGCTATGAAGGATCTATGGAATGTAAAATCTATTCAATTTTATTCCCAAGCAAATATATCACGGACGATTACTACCGAATACCTTCCGACAACTTTCAACGTTATATACACTTAACATTCTTGACATACCGTACCTCTTCATCCAAAGAAGGCATTTCCCCCATCACAGCCATGAACAAAAGTACATTTAGAAATGCATTAAAGAACTCGATTGAACGACGATTAACAAAATTTTAACATTCAATTTCTTATTATTACGAGATGTGATAATACAACAGCAATAGCAAGCAGGTTTTGTTTGATAGCAAAGTCAACTGTCATTACACATGTGTTTCCTTGCGTCCATGTTAGAGCGCAGTATGAGTACTATTATCATCACAGATTACTATACTAGTCTGTTTCTGAGTTAATCTTTATCACAATTTATCTATTAAATAGAAGCGTCAGATAAACAGACCTTCAGCTCTCTTGTAACCATAACATCGCAACGCTGGTTATTATATACCGTTTTCCTAATTTATTAACTTCTGTCCAACTCCCGAATTTCAGTCATGCACAGAATCATGCTGACATGGATCAACCTCCGACCACCAACGCTTGTTATCTTGTCAGCGTGAAGTTTTACAATTTTTAATATATTATGCAATTTACAACTCTAATCCACTTGATGTGCAGAATATCGAAGTGTTTCCTATTTTACCACTGATAGAGCAATATTTTTAGTTAATCATTAGTCTAAACTAGATTTCAGAATATATTTTTAAACTGTACTTAACTGATAAAGTTTCGGCACCAAAAATGAAAGTTTTTCTTGTCTTCTTCTTCTTCTTCTACCTAATCAAGGTAGGCCTCCATAGACCTGCGCCGTCGACCTACGTCTCTGCGTACAGTCTATAAAATAATGCTTGCCATGGATATCGTGGAAGTAACAACCCGAGTACAAGTTCTTTACATTTCTTTCGATATTGTTCTATTTCTTCGACAATATTAATTTCTCCTAATTGTGTTCATAAATCTATCTATCCCAGTCACTCCATATAGGGATCTCACGAAAGTCTTTTGAGCGGCTTTTAATCGTTGTTTATCTCGTGATCTTAACGTCCATATTTCGGTGACATGTTTAAGATCTGGTTTTGTCATTATGTTGTGTAATCTTTGTTTTATATCTTTCCTCATACTGGTTCCAAAATGTATTTTAATACATCCATCCATTCAATTTGTTTCTGTTGGAGATATTTTTAGCAAATCTGCATTCATTTCTATCGTCGATATTTTACAACCCAAATACTTAAAATTTTGTACTTGTTCACTGCTCTCTTCATCGAAACTATTCCTACTCCAAAACACCAGACTCAGTGACGAGTTACTAAATGATGACCTGGGACTATACAATAGCATATTCCGCAGTTTTGGTTGGTCCAGAGGTTTTCTAACCCTTTATAGTCCCATCAGCTGTAGTCGAATGAAATGTGGGCGTGACAATGTACGATGTAGTCAGAAGGATGGAGAAGGAAGTGAATGTGGCCTATATCAAGGTTCAAAGTATTATCACAGAGTTCGCTTAGCGGCGCTAAGGGAAACCATACCACCCCCCACCCCCTCTACCTCAGCAGTAGGTTTACCTTGACTTGATGTTATTTGGACGCTACATCAGGGGTGATCAACTTTTCAGGCAGGCGAGTTACATTGAAAGATAGTATGTGCTACATGAGCCGGATAATTCAAATATCTCCGCCATAACCAACAGAAAACATAATAAAAATTGACAGTTGAACCACGGTTCCGGAGAATCTGACGTAAATACACAAACGCAGTAGTAGCGTGAAGTGCGATGCGCCTTTATTTGTGTAAATAAATGCTTGTAGAAGCCGAACCATTTGTGATATGTAAAATCTGAAAACAAATATGGAAAGCTCAGGAGGTAATACGTATTTCGTACGCAATATGTCCAGATCCATCTCTTACGGTTTTCGAGAGGCGGGCGCTTAACGCGCCAGATGCATTGAAAATTGTACGCATTGGTTCATTAAAATTACAATAAATGTATAAACAATTATAATTACAATAAAATACATTACAGATTCTTAAAGGTCCTTATTTACTGATCATATTACATACAGAATACATTATCCTTACTCTTACCATTCCTGAGGAATGAACGTTTAAAGGTGACTCGGCGCTGGATCTTACATATCTTCATAATGTTTTTGCCCAATGACCCTTCCGTATAGATGTATTTACGTCAAAATAGCACGTGTTTACCTCCTTCTTGTAAAACTTAAGGCCTGCATTTGCTCCGCAACAGAAATTACATTTGGTTTTATTTTTGAAAAGTCATTTTGCGTCACATCATGTAAGTGCACGTCGGTGAATCTTGAGCTGAACTTCAGTTGAATTTGTTTAGTACGTAAAAAACGCCTGTTCACATATATAGGTGTCATCGAGCGCACTTGACAAATTCCGTGCTAACTTACAGAAAGGAGATACTGATAAAAATGTAAGAAATGTAATTTAAGTTCCCTGGATAAAACCATTATAGTACACAAAATTGATCAATATTGCAGTTAGATCAATAAATACGTATCTGTCCACTTCTCTTGAAACATTCTACATCCAGAGTCAATTTTAATTTAAATTTACCACAACGTATACTCAACTGTACAATAAACACAACATAAACACCTCGTTGATGTGGAATGACCAACACTTGAAACATACATTACAAATGGAATTTCGAATCAATGTCGAGCTCGCACGTGTTCTGGATGAAACTTTGAAGATTGTTGTCAACACTAAGCACTGCAAATCTGTTAAAGAATTGATAAGCGAATCCCTGCTCCCCAAATTATGTGGCACAATTATAATATTTGTCGATTGTTACGAGAAGCCTCAAACGCTTTGTGTAACTGACAGAAAAGTTCCTAAAATATTGAGGCCATGTTTTTCTTTTGCTATTGTTGACAACACTGTCCTACCAAGAAAATAACTTCTTTCTCAACGAATCAAATTCACTGAACCACAAAGAAAAACAAATGCAGTGATACCAAATTTCGGGGACTACGGAATATGCCCCGATTTGCCGCACCCTAGCAGCGGCTCTAGTTGTAAAGTTCACGTGGTGTGCAGCCCTCCAATCAGCGACGAGTCCTGTATTGCACGGAATATGCCCCGTCACATCCGTCGCCATAAATTTACAGTTGAGCTCTAACGAGTTTACATCGAGGTCGAAGACATAAAAAAACACAAATCCTGTGGGAATCGCTCCACAGGACCTCCCAATGTGTCGCGACTCTAATGACAAGGCTCATTTGTGGCTTTGAGGGCTGACCAGAATCTCAGCTCAGAAATTCACACAGGAGCCAAAAACGTGGCCTACTTGATTAAATAATAATAATAATAATAATAATAATGATATTATTTGTTCTCTCTGTCTTCTCTTAAAAGTTGCTTCATAATTTTAAGAAACTAAACTATGAAAACGGAATTGTGACTGTAAATTATATGTTCTCACAGAGTGATCATACATGTTGACACATTTAATTTTTTGACGTAAATACGTCTATATTTTAGGGTCAGTGTCATTCGGCAAAAAGTGAAACGAAAAAGTGTAACTGCATTGTTATGTTACCTAGGAAACGTCATCTGTTTACTTAGCATTATTGTTACCTAGGAAATGTTACATTACATTACATTACCTTACATTTCATTACTTTACATTACATTCAGCTACCACAGACCCATCTTAAGCGTAACTAATTCAAGTTAAATAAGCAATGTCTTAATCAAACTTTACTCAATTGTAAAGCATGTATAAAGAAAATATTTAGAATAAAGCCAATATATAAACTTCCTTTCTGTATAGACGTATTTACGTCAAATTCTCCGGAACCGTGTTTCCACTGTCACTTTTTAACATACCCCATGTTCTTTCCTCTAGACCAGACGCAGTGTAATGCTAGACACAGTTAACGCATTCAATCACTATTTTGCAAAGCTAAAGCATTTCATGGGATCAACTCTACCAATTTAATGACCCCCAACTCCAAAACAGCATGGCGAGCGAACGACACTGTACGTGGGCCAGTGCTTATTGAAATATATATATATATATTTTAAAGAGGGATGTTTTCGTTGTAAAATTGGAGTGAATAAATTTCACTTCGTTGCAAATGCCAAATTTAATTAAAATACAGAGCGAAGTTTCAAATGGAGGCAGACACTCAGAGTAACTCTGATAGTAGCTTGTACTTTGTTAGTAAAGCTGTGTTGTCGCCTGTTTAAATTCAAATCATGACAAGTCCTTCGGATCTTTTAAACATAACCTCAAACAGCTGTCCAACCGCGTGTTATTATTTCTCTTCCAAAAAAATAATTTCGATATCAGATACAACTTTGGTGGTGCTCAGCCGTTCCCACGACGCCGGTAGGAGCTAGTTTAGGACAGGGCACAGAGATGGCTCTTGACACGCGGGTACTAAAGCTACGCTCCGACTCGTTAGCAGCCACACACGATTGTTGTGTCTTTCCGAGAATTTGCCTCTACAGTAGCAGCAGTAGAAGCGAGAGACGTGCAGTAGCCAATGCAGGTAAGCTCCAACAATGACCGTAGTGACGCCGACACTCAATTGAAGATTGCCGACGCACCTGTGAAAATGCAGGTGTACGAAAAACGTGACGTGTCGAGTCAGACATTCTGGACATAACCACTCGCCATGGGAGCGCACTGAACTTTATAATCAGTTAAACTGGAATTCGCATCCCAGCAGTCATTATTAGTCTTCCAAACGACATTTACCAGATTTCTGAAAACATTTCTGGCTTGTCACAACAATTCTCGGTGACTTGCGCCAAGAAATAGTTTTCCTCCTTTCCCTATTCTCCTCAGCGCTTTTTTTCTTACAAATATTCTACTTGCAATTAGAAACCGCATTTTACATCCATTCAAAAATAAATTGCGTTACATACCGCAGATGTGCTAGAATTTTAAATTCCGTCTTCTGTCCGGGAAAGCAGGTGACTTGAGCTGAGAAGCATTTCGTGTTTAGGTCGTTCTTATTGCCTGAGTAAATGAGGAAACCATATCGATTGTTCACGGATCGATACATTGGCGTGACTCGTGAACGGTGGGTGCGGTGCTCACGTGATTACGTACACTAACTCGCAAAAATTTGATGCTCTGAATCTGGTTCCATTGTCGTGATGCTGGCAACAGAGACAAACTACAATCATGCGCAATAAAAGTCTGTCAGCACATTAAAATAATTATATTTAAGGAGAGTTAGCACGCGTACAACACCGACATCTGATATAAAAAACTGATCAAAGTTCAAAATGACTATTTGGTGTTAAAAGTTCGTGCAAATTCAATATGGATATGTGATATCAAAAACAATTCACTCGACGAATATTTACTTAAGAAAAAATGTTGGTGTACGATATACGTACACGGGCGTAATATCTGAAGACAATGAAAGTACAACACGGGTATAATTACGTTGTAAGAAGTTCACCGGACGCATGACAAGAAACTCAACAGGGATATCTGTTACCTTGAGTATACCGGATGCTAGAAATTGATCCGCCACTGTGCATATAGACAGCTGCAGCTGGTATTTGTCTGAATTGTTGTTCTTGTTAAAAAGTGATCGATGCAACGGCCTGTCTCCTGCTGCTGACTTTAATTCCACACGAACATAAACCAGGAACAGGGCACCACGTAAATATTTAGCTTTGCTCTTTAAACATCCGTTTGGACTTGATCCAGTGTCTGAGTTTCGGGGCTGACTATGACACAGGGCGTTCATATTGTGTAGCTCGAGTGATGTGTTCAAGATAACACTTTTTCAGATGCTGCATTGTCATGTCGCAGTCTGCAGCTGTTGACATTTTGGGGAGATGGCTTCTTTGGTGCGTCGTAATGGAGTTGGCAACCCTGGATTTTGGTAAGTCGCGGAACCTGCTCCCTGCCCATAAGTAATACACAACATGGACGAGACACACACACACACAATTTAGCTTGAAAACTTTATGATAAGGAGACAGTTAGTTGACTATGATCCGTGCCGTATAAGTTAACTAAGCTAAACTTTAGGGCTTCGTGATACAGGACGACTCAAGATGTACCTACCAAGTTTAATGCTTTATTTCACTTCAGTGATAAAGTATATAAATCTAACTTAAATCAGCATCGCGTGTGACACCGTACGTTAGATCCTGTCCTGCGAGATATCTTGATGAGGTTTGGATATGTGTGACTGTCCGTACCAACCTTCACGCCAAACATTACCCAGAATGCTCTCCTGACCTTTACCGGTCTATCAGATGATCGAATGTACTGTCCGCGAGGTCCTGGGGTCAAATCTCGGCCCGGAGACCGGCTATCATGACTGAGGGTATTTTTTTTGTAATTTCCACAGTCCCTCCAGGCAAATGCCTCTTCCTTTCACATCTTTTCCAATTCGTTATTCACTGTCATCCTCCAATTCGACGCTTTATAGTCGGAGTTACTAACATAAGCGTCGTTAAATAAGCTATAAATAGATAAATCTTCAATAATGAATATCAGCTACACGGCACTGTAAGAACTTAGATGCTGCTGGTGGCTGAATAAGGCATGAAACACTTTGGGGTCCGCCCCACACGGCCACACCTATATGAAAACGGAGATGCTATATAATCTTCATTATCCCCTTTGGCCCTCTGTTCCGTTCCGAAACATAAATTAAGTTTGAAATTGCAAACCCTAAGATGTCTGACATGACTCACCTGATGCCTTACAGCTTTCAACGCACACAGGACAACAACAATGGAACATGGACCGCCTCAAATGACGGGCTCATTGTGACGGACGAATATAAGTGTGTATACAAGGCGTAAATTAGTTTGAACCAACTGAAGAATGCAGAAACTGTAACGGAGTTACAAGGTTTTTTATTTAATTAGGTAGTGACTTTGATGATTTAACTGGCTGTTTGTATAGCAGTTGGCTAGACTAAACTTTCGCCTCTTTGTAAATACATTTGTACCTTCCAAATGACTGCAGTTCATCAGCTAAAATTACATTTGGAAACAAGACTTCAATGGGAAGGCTTTAGGGCAATTGAATGGTCTTACATCGAGATACGCTTACAGTAAGAAGAAGGCAGGATCGGCGCAAGGGTATTTATTCATTCATTCTGGAAAGTAATTATTTGTGCATTAATAGTATTAACAATTCTGCGTCCATACTTTCACGTTCAGTTTACATGACGAATAATGATACTGAATGTACATTTGAATTTTTCTACACTTTACACTCCATGTACTAAAACAAATATCTGAATAGAACAAACAACAAAACGAAACAGAAACGGACAAAAGCGAAACAAAACGTTTTACCGTAAGATCTGTAGCGCAACTTCACTACACACACATCAACCATTTGTGTAAGGTACCAACTGTTGGATTCATATTACAAAGCCACGAACACACAATCTTTCCTTCTATTTTTTTTGTCTGTTATTGATCGTCCAGTGATCAAACAGGCTGTGGAATAGCCATGAAAATATTGGCTGTGTGTAGAACGACAGATTAGACTACTTACTGTAACAAGTGAGAGAAAAACGTAACCTTTCTTACTTCTTGGTTTATTTAACGGTGCTCTCTCAGTTTTATAGCTCATACGGCGCCCAGTGGGATTACGGTTGCAAATATTGAAATGAAAGGAAGCAGCAGCTGCAATGTCTATTTTAAAGGAATTATCCTAGCGTTCGCACGTAAAATTTCAGCCACCTGCTAGGGGACCGAGCCCAACGACTCGCGGTGACAAAGGAGGAGCGAGGCGTTCTTTGAAGCAGACGTTTGTCATGACAGGCCGCACACCGGATTGATTTCACGGCGCAGTGTTGTGAATAATGTAGCCCGTGCCACAGTACGACTTGTCTCCGCGGGGAGAAAACCTCACTCACTGCAGCACTTGTACGTACGTACCTCTCGCTTCAGACCGGCGGAGAACATCCATGCCAAGCCATCACCGTGTCGTGGCCCACCCACGTGAATGCATTGTTTTTCTACATATTCCGTAGGCAATCCAAGTGTCGATAAATTTTCCCCACAAATTTTGTTGTTGAACTCAATTTTTACCGATTTTTAATTATTACTGGCCACGCGCAGAAAACGTTTTTCGAACAAAATGTTCGGACCTGCACCACCTATTTGTTTCATGTAAGATCGTCCATTTTAAAAAGCTGGGCTGATTTCGACGAAACTCGATAATGTATACCTTCATTCACTTTCAATTTAAGGCCTCTTTACTTGGGGGCTTAAATAAACTTTTGTGTACATTTAATTCAGTTGTTTGACATACTCTGATGCAATTTCATATACGCCATTGCCTCACTTCAGCTTATTTCCCATGATCCAGGGGTTTTCGATCCATGGCCCGCATACATATGTATAATATTGAAAGTAAAGTAAAGCCATCCAGTTACGTGCCTATGTTGGCACTTACGGGAAAGGGCCTCAGTACCCACTGGCCAGTCTGAAAGCAGAGGCTAGAAGAAAATCCTCTGCCTCTGTCAGGAGCTGAACCTCGATCGTCCATGTCCAGGCCCACATGCACAAAAACTGTATCAGTCTATAAAATGAAAAGGAAATAGTTGCTGCCTTAATTAAATATCTAATCTTAAGTGACTAATTACTATAAATAACAATTATTTAAACACAATTATTCGTACTACGTGATGTTTGCATTTTAATAAACTACGTTGAAGTTTAAATAAGTTATCAGTTAGTCAAAAAAGAAAGGTAAAGTGCAGCACCAGGTCTTACGAAGCTCGAGAACCATTGCTTTAATAAATTTTATAACCAACTTTTCATGTGGATCTAAAATATTTTGAGGCATATCTCACCAAGTCTTCTGGGTTGTTGCGCTCTGTAGCCTTGTAGGAGGTCACCGACGTTTCAGAGGTCCTTGCTGCTGGCTGGTTTTCCTTTGGTTCACTTCGCTGGTTGAATGGGCTAGATTTCCCCATGGCCTGAGGGCGAAGTGCCCTTCCACCACACCCGAAGACAAATATGAAAATCCTGTTGCATCATTTGCAGGTGTGGCTCCTAGCGGAACAACTATCATGCTGCCAACACTTTCTAAGAAAGCATTAAAATAGCAGGAAGTTGAACTACCATACACAGTTTGACCACTCAACGCTACCGAAAGCTGGTGCGAGTCCATTTCTAGCGTATGAACGGAACAGTAACCATGGGTTTTAAATCGAAGGAAATAATTAGCTCAACCACTCGGTTCTGCAACACGTTGTCGATTTAAGCGCTACCATTTTGTCTTTACATTATATAGGTTACTTTTAATGTAGGCGTAAATTCAGAATTTTATAATAAAGATTAGAGATGCTCGATTTTATCCAGATTTATTTTAAACGTAAATAGAATCGTGTAAGATTTGAGGTTATCACACCGGTGAGTATGAACATTTCTGTCTTCTGGGTTGTTGCGCTGTGTAGTATGGTCGAAGTTTACAAACGTTTCAGAGGTCATACTGCCTCCGTCATCAGGGTGATGAATCGTTGGTAACCATCGACCAGACTACACAGCGCAACAACCCAGAAGACAGAAATCTTCGTGAATAGAATCTTTTGTTTCGTGGTGTCCTTCAGATGTGCTATAGGTATTTTTAAAAAATCTCAGTATTTGGAGACAGGGCCCAAAGCTGTAGCTTGTTTAACTTATATGTAAAACTAGCACTGATTACAGAGTCACAACCAACTTTTTAACTGCCACCTTGAGGGCGCATTTGTTCGTTACTGTAAAACTTTATGAGATAAACAATTAGATTTTTTTTCCTAAAATAGCATTTTATGGTGAAGTGATTGACAGGCATGTAATATGAAGGGAGAAACAAAAACCAAAAAATGTTTGTTGAAAAACTTACTGGGAAGAAAGAACCAAGAGATAACCATGGAAAGCAATAACAAAATTAATTTCTTATTAATGGATTGTAAAGACAGGAACTAGACAATGCTGACAGATTTTGCTCAGTCCCACCAAAAAGGATTGCAAATTTTCTTGAAGACATCTGCACCGAGCATTTATGAGCCATCATGAGTCCTGTTTTTACTGATAAGAAATTTGGCAAATTAGGGCACCAATGTACCTTAATCGCACCTGTGGCTGCTGGTGAGTGGACAGGTAAATTAGGTGATCTAAGGTAGATGTAAGTCTAACTTCAACTTTCCCCTTTTCAATGTATATCACGGCTGCCAGCCTTCAGGTCAAACATTTCCTCCTACTTGCTACCACAAAAAATTATCATCTCAGTTTTTACATTTCTAGACTGAGAGAAACTTTGCTTAATGGACCAAAATGAGAGACTCCGCACATTCCCAATCATCTGTGCACTGCACTGATGTAATAACTTACCGAGATTGAACCTGAGGGATCCTATACAATTACTTAAGTGGGGCAGAGAGAACATTTTCTTTCATGCTCAGAAGTAATTTTACTTTAAGTTATTTTTTGTAATCAGTTCCTTCAATATTTTTGTCTGGTTTAAAAAATTTTGCTGTAAAATTCTGAACTTTTACTGCAGTCCGTGCCATTGACTGCTTCAAGTGTGTTTCGCTGAACGGAAACTACCCAGCATGCGATGATCCGTTCCACAATAACTTCACAACTGGAATCCTGGAAGCACCATGCCTGGGTGGGCGCAAAGGACGTAATGGACTGTTCCCTGCCACGGCATGTATCAAGCTGGCAGGTATTTACGATGACACTGGTGACAGCATCACAGTACGTGGCTGCGCACTCGACAGCGGTACTCTCACTACTGACACCGAGATCATCCGTATGTCCCACTGTGGTGGTTTCTACTTTGATGACAGGTAAGGTACCCCGCGTCACCCTCGGTGGACTAGTGGTTAGCGTGTTCGCCACTGGACCCAAGGTTCGCGGGTTCGATCCCGGCCAAGGTTGATGGATTTTTAACGGTGATAAAAATCCACAGCACAACTTCCTTCGGATGTCGTAGATGTAAAAGAACCTTACGAGCATGAACGAGATGTTTCGTAAGCAAAATTCAGCTGCCATTTCTCACCCATGTCTCTCCTGATTCTCTACTAGATGGCTCTAGCAGACAAATCAGGATTGAGTAGAAATTGTGCTGAGGCAGTGGGCTTTTCAAAAATGCTCACTTCAAAGACAGAAACTCCCACATGGGAGGAGGCCAAGGCTCGACTTTGGGCTGTTGCGCCATAGAAGAAGAAGGTACCCAGTATTCAAAATTCCCTAGTGGCTGCCTACTTTATCCTCTATATAAAATGGCCCTGATGGTAATTAGTAAACCATTCACATCTATATTTCTCATTAGTACAGGTTCCAAGTACATTTAATTTGTCAAACATAACTTCAAAGTTCTGCAGCATCACCCATATTTACAGATGACACAGAAATGATATTTCATAGAGAATATATAAGTACCTTTATGATATGCCCCATGCAAAATTTCACACATCGAGCTCTAACAGTTTATTATTTATCACCATCAAACAGTGTGGCTGCTGTCTAGTTGCTCTACATTCTACGAAAATATTACCTCGACAGAAGTTTGAGTACGATTTTGAGGTCATGCAGAATAGCACAACTTTCACTAAATCCATCCAGTTTTTTTTTTGAGTTGAATAGACTGGACAGACGCGACCAGCCCATAACGTGTTATCGCTATGTACTTCGTGCAAAGAACACATAATAATAAATAAGATTTGAGAAATATGCTTGAGTTTGAAGTACATATATTTTTCAAACATGTTCTTTCAAATTTTGCATTTGTATTTGCCTTGATGCTCTTACATTGCTCCAACAAATATAACGACGCAAAACTTGACACAGTATAATCAACACGCATTCTTATAAACAACACTGGAAAGGTGTACTCTTTGGAGTGCACTGAAATTCCAAAGGTGTTCCTCAGGCCACATCATGGGCAACGACGTCAGTAAGTTGCTTCATTGATAACTACGGCTCAAAGAAACTTTGGATTTAGATCACCCTTTCATTAAGTAAATAACAAAGGTAACGACAGTATACAAAGTCGCTACTGCAGTAGTGTGATCCGACACTGCTAAGCCAACAATTACAATTCTCCAATAATTAATTCGGTCCCCTATATAGCAACAATGACACCAGGTGATGGGGCATGCATAGTTCATAGGGGGAAAAAAAATGAAACAGATGGACAAGCAGCTGTGGACGAACCCATTAGGCGTTCTTTGTACATGCTAGGATGTGAACAACACCTAATAATTCTGTTAAATATACATCATAAAGGAAAATAAACACAGATTGCAGAACTCTACAAGGCACACAAACACATGAACGCACATACATGCGCGCACACACACAAAATACTTAAGTTTCATGTAAAATATTTTGCAGATATGCAACAAATTAAATTTATCTGCCAGCATCACGATTAGGCTGTCGATAACAGGTTTTATCAAAATCTGTTGAATAATTTAAGATGAAATATGAGGAGAGACATGGCCTCCCATTAACTTTCATTTACGACACAATTTTAAACCGATCAAAATTAACTGATAACACTAACAGTAGTCGCTATACTTACTCAAATTGGTACTATGTCGCAGGTACGTGCGTGGCTGCCTCCAGAGCTGCGACGATGCAGATGCTTGTAACAAGTCTCCCACATTGCAAACATCTCTTGGGCTACTAGCATTGTGTTCCATCACATTGATGACCACATAATATGAGTTGTACGAACAGAGGCACTCACCATACAGAGAAAGATCAAAGAGACCCGTGCACTAACTGAACACAAAGCAAGATCGTTAGTGCCTTGAGGAATATCTGGACTGCTTCTTAGAAAACACTGTTTAATTGTTGCTTGAAGTCAGAAGTTAAACTTGTGTTATGAGACAACATACAGTGCAAACTGCATTATACATATAATTATTATAGCCAACAAACACACGTCATCACTGAAGATGAAATTAACTGGTTCCGTAAATCATTTAGCTCCTAGCATTACAGTGTCACATCATAGAATTTTAAACTGTAATCTGTGAAACAGTGAGAAAACTGCGTTTCGATCGGCCAACACGCCTAAAACTTGTTAGGCCGAAGAGGTTAAAATTGTAAGCGGAGAGAAATGACAACATTTTTAAAAGTACGTAAATAAGTCGAGAAAAATGCCAACAGTACTTGTGATTAAGCTTAAGTAAGCAGATAGAAATGGAAATACTGAAGCAACTAAGTAGAGATAAATTATTATACTGAATGGCAATACTGCTTATATAAAGAGGTAAGTAAATATGGCAATAATGACTGGTAATGAGAGTTTAATAAGCGGGGAGAAATATCTGTCATGTGGACATGTGATTATGTGCGACAACTGTGAAGAAATCTCTCTTCATTCTCTTGCTGACAGTCCAATCGACACGGCGATGGCGAGTGTGATGGACTGATGGATTTATAAATAAGAAGAGGAGAAATACTAAATTATTATGTATTTACCTGCAACCAGCCTGTAGGCAGTAGTGGGCAAGCTCGCTGTGGTTTACTTCTCACGCTTGTCCATTTTTCTGCACGCGATCAGGTTGCCACGTGGCCATTTTCCTTCAACAGAAACTTTTCTGCTACGTGCTCTTACCACTTTCACCTAATTTACAAAAAATGTATACAAATGGGCGACGAGGGTCTGACGAAAGGCAGACCCAGTGTACGACTTTTGTCAGAAGCAAGCGTCTTCGACATATACCAACATTGTACTTAATATTTTTCATACTGCCGCACGTAAGTCATAACCAAAGGACTCTTGGACAAGACTTAATTCTGTCAGAGCCGTGTATTTAGATTACCCTTATAGGAACAAACTGCACATTTTGCTTCAATAATTAACACAACTTCACTCAGGTGGACCAATAGCAAGTCTCTAATATGTATGAACACGTTACAAAAAATATCATCTATTTATGATAGTCTTACTGTTATAGATTCACATGTATTTTTCTGCACATATAACATTATTACTCTCATCAGCGAACTAGTGTTACAGATGCACCAGAATTCTTTATCGCAATTATAACTACATTTTATATATATTTTAAGAAAGCCGTCTGTTGTTATAACTCGTACCGACAGCACTGTAGCTAGGTTTGCAGCACATTACAACACACAGCACCCCAATGACAAGACGCTTCTGGCGTGCCTTCCAGTCAGCGCTGTCGACTCTTGCAGCACGCTGGTCAAGCATATTGCTGCGGTCATTAAAAAATGTTATACCACAAACTGAAGCGTTCTGATAACCAAAAATGTATGAAATATAAATGACTAGTGCCTTCCTATTACAAATATTGTACTCTTCATTTGTTTAAAAATGTAAGAAACATGAACAACTGGTACCTACATGACAGTATCTTAATGATTAGCATAATTTTCATTATGTCAAAAATATATAACTGATAACCAACATGACACCGTAACATCTGCATGAGAAGCCATGACTGGCATTGGGTCACAGTATACTCATTGCCTGCACGCCATCTGGCTCAATCTCACTGTTCAACGCCATGTACTTGCTAAGTTCCGTTGATGACGAAGAGTTTGTGGATAACAGCAGTGGCTCCCTTGCGTAAGCGCAGGCAGCCGCATCTGCCGATGGTGAGAAGTTCATAGACGCAGAACACTTCCTGAATGTCACGTTTGGCAACCGCATTTCTAGCTGTCCTATGTCATCGTCCATCTGGACAGATGCCAGGGGCACATCCAGGCAGGGAGAGATCAGCCGCGGGTTATTGGCAAGAAATTCAACGATTTCAGAAACTTGGGGCCGCCGTTTGTGATCAAAGTTCCAGCAAGATCTAATCAAACCTTCCCTGCATCAGGAATAAAAACAATAAAAACTTTATTACTTAACAGTAGTAAGTATAAGTGGTCTGTAATGAGTTAAAAAATAGAATCTTTACAGATTTTCTGTACGGTTGTTATTTATTCTGGGATCCTAAAGCGGCCCATCCACGTACGAGTCTGGCTCGACGAGCTTGACTCGTGAGCTGGGCTCGGATATATTTCACCACACATGCATAGCAGACTTGGTTCATGACACCCCACCCACAAACGAGTTTGGCTCAATGGAACCCAAGCCAAGCCGGACTCACAAGCCAGACTCGTATGTGGATGGGCCGCTTTAGGCCTGGAGTCCATCTAGCTAGACCTTCTTTACTCCAACTAGAGTTCTCTAGGTATGAACATATATGAAGTAAACACTGCACTCTACGAACAACTAGACAAACTTTCCTACAGCACTGTACAGTGGCTCTAGCTAAATTTGTCTAGTGGCTGCTACTGTTGTATTATTAAAATGAAGGGAAAAAGAGAAAAATGTGGGTTACAAAGTGAATTGTAATAAGAGAAAAAGGGCTTACAAGAGAACTGAAGATAAAATATCTGACACAAAATTTTTCTTTATTCTGTTCCTGTTGTTTCCTACATTCCTTTGACATTTTGTTTTTGTTAGTATTCCAAGATTTAAATTTCTGTTTCAAATAGACAAAGCAATCACAATTACCACACATAACAAAATGTATGAATCAACAGCTAAACCTAACTAGGGTTAGGACTAGTGTTTACACTGCCCATTAGTGTAGAGCAGAACTCTAGCTAGGTTTTGAATAACCTCTAGCTAGAGCACTCTCAATGCTGTGTATATAAATAGTTTAATACTGTGAGATTTAAAATCACTCTAGCAATGGAAACTGCCTAAAATATCTACAGTGGACATCTAGACTAAGAGGGCACCATTCAGAAAATGTGTTTTCTTCACCATCTTCTATAACACTGTACAAAATGTATGTATTTTGAGATAGTTTTCCTTCTGATCAAGTCTCACTCTTCTACGACATCTGTAAAGGTAAATCAACACCAGTACTCTGTACTCACAATTGAGGCTTGACTCCTGCTGGGATGGGGAGTGTGTTTCCACTTTTTACATGCTCCAGTACCTGGCTATTGCTCATTCCCTGAAATGGGAAGCTGCCAAATGTGATGATCTCATACAGGAGAACACCGTATGACCAGACATCTGAACTTGGGGAAAATAGTCCCAACGCCAGGCTTTCTGGTGCCATCCACCTCACCGGCAGCATTCCTCAACAGAAATAAACCCTAATACTCTCTGGTTCAGCATCAATGTTTGTTCCATCCTAACATTTACTTCACCAAGATTTGCTTTGTGGTAATGCATCTGATTTGCATGCTGAAGGCTATCTGTTTTAATCTCAATATTTATCTTGACTGATTTTTCATGGTTTTCCTCAATCATACAAAGGTGGAACAGGACAGTCAGCTTCATGTCTAGGCTATCAGCGAGACAACCAGGGTTCAGTTCCCAGATGGGCAAGACTTTTCTCTCCACCATGACATCCAGACTGACTCTGGGGCCCGATTGTACCATCCAATACGTACTGCAGTTCTTTCCTTGGGATTAAAGCAACTGGGGAATGAAGTTAACCACTGAACTACATCTGCTGCTGAAGTTAGGAATGCATGGTTATACATCCAATTCTCCATACATCTGCATAGCATGTGCTTAGTTAAGCACAACCTAGGTAAAATTTTAACTTTCCTCACCAAAGAGTGTGTCCAGGATGGAAACAATCCACATCTGCTTTCTCCCTCATCATTTTAAATGTAATATACATAATCATTCACTAATCTCATTTCATAATTTCATGTAGTTGATACACTGTTACTAAAACTACAATTAAATAAATAATTAAGACATTTTTTAAAGCCTCAAGTGTCAAATTTACCTTTTCTGTTAAACTTATAGTAGTCATTCTCGTACATGGGGCGCGTCATACCAAAGTCACCGAGCTTCACAACCCTGGAGGCGTTGACTAGACAATTGCGGGATGCCACATCCCTGTTGACAATCATGAACACTCAGCACTTTTTACAGAATATCACTGGACTGTGTCCCAGTCAAAAGAAGGAAAACAGACCAGACAAACTGCAAACACAGCGTAATCATATGCCAGCAGAGGACATACATTGATAGAGAATAATAATAATAATACAGAACATTCCTTCACCTGTGTACATATTTGAGCTCGGCGAGGTAACTGAGGGCTCGTGCAACATCTATTGCCATCATTGTCAATTTTTTGCTTGATATCTCATCAGACTCCTCAGAAATCCTCTCGTTAACAAGGTGTCGGCGTGCAAGGAGGAATGTCTTCATATCACCTATAATAATAGCATGGAATTAGAAAGCAATGGAAAGACACCATGTTTTGTACTAGTTAGAGGGGTCAGAAACTTCGTGCCTCACCATATAACATGAACTCCATAATTGTGTAGACAGGCTCATTCTTGGTGCACACCCCCTGCAACTTGACGATATTTTTGTGTTCAAACCTTTTCATCACCTCTGCCTCGCTCAGGAAGTCTAGTTTTTCCTCAACTGTGGAGCCAACTTTCAACGTCTTCACTGCTACAGCCACCTGCAACATGAAGATGACCTGTCAGAAGAAGAAAGGCTTTCACCTCTGTATTGGTCAAATAATGTAAACTGTGAGGCTCACCCAGCCTTTGTCTTCAAACAGTGCCTCCCCACCATACACCATGCCAAATGCTCCCTCTCCCAGCTTACGATTGATTACAACTCGATCGCGGGAGATCTCCCACTTGTCGAGGCTGCTCATATTTTGTGCTGCCAGCAGGTCAATACCTAGTGACTTCATGTAGTTCTGTGTCTGCCGCACCTTCTTGTCGTACCTGTGAGACACAGCCAGTAGATCTGATATCACATATTCTGTTCCTCAAAATGCAAAGAAAATAAAATAAAATAAACTTAATGTTAATATTCAACTATCTGAGCATCAGGAATGTCTGACTGGTTCAAGGGTTATCCAGCAATGCTATATCAACTGCAGAAGTTACTCTTGGTTGAACAAGATAAAAGAATAATAATGAACATGAGCGTTTCATAGACAATAATTAGGGATAAAACATAATGAGGAAAGTTACGCTGTAGAGACAATTTCTCTTCCTTAGAAAGAAATGTCAAAGAGCTATAATATACAAGCACTTATGAAAACAGACAGGACATAAAATTGGATGAGATGGGGTGGACATTATTAGTCCTATATTATCTTTAATTACATAGAATTAGATGTCACACCATTCAGATAATAATTCACTGTGCCCTCCTTACACTACAGTTCCTGTGTATCAACTATACTTTATCCTATACAGTATTCCAGGCAAGTTGAAAGGTATAGTAAACAAAGTCATGTACGGGGAAGTGTTTTACTGCTTCCTAACCTCATCCTTCATCCAATGTCATTTCACATCTGTTTTTTGTTTTTATAAGAACTGAAGTAGCAGTAATATTACTCTTTGAAGTGATAATGATTTGGAGCTTCACAATGGGATTTATTTATTATATAAATTGTGTTATATGTTACAGTTATACATGCTGATTAAGTTATTTCTGTACATGTTATTTGGGGTGGATGAATATTTATTGAGACAACACAGAAATAAATAAGTTCACAGACTATGATGAGGAAAACATGCTTTCATGAGTAGCATGACTTGTATCAGTAATTTTTGTATCAAATAGAAGTTTGTTTGTGCATGCATGTTGAGAACAATTGTTTTTATATTTGTATAATGTGTAGTATGTACAGTCCACGACTGTAATCTTGGGACTTGCGGGGTAAGGAGGAAAGATAGCGTCTGCCTTTAACGCTACACACTTCCTGCATTCCTTGGAAGTCTCAAGATTACAGTCGTGGGCTGTATGTATATATTATTTTTATAGAGACCTGGTAACTGTGTGTATAATGTAAAGTTACAGCAGTGAATTTATTATAATAAAAGTAAGTTTTGTATGAGTAGGTGCACGATGGCTGATAACTCTGTTGCACGATATATAAGAGGTAAACCTACTAGATGTGGTGAAGGAAGATATGAGTTGAACAAGCTAAAATGCTTTCTCCCAGGAATGATAAGGGAAAAAGTTGTTGAAATGACATCACAGGCTACAGAAATATGGAAGGTTAGTGTGTACAGAATCCAAAAAGTAGTAGCACACACTAATAGTAACACATCATGTAATAACTGGAGAGCCACCCTCAGAGAAGTCTTAAGATTGACCAAAAGCAATCCAAGAGGTAATTCCAGAGAAATGGAGAGCATGTGCGATAGAAGAGCATGAGGTCAAATGTGGAATTTAGATTGCTTTAAGGAGGAAACAGTAGGGAGACTTATCAATATCAATACTAGCATCGATGACCATGACAATAGTGACTGGAAAGGTATGTTTCATCACATTGTCATTTTTGTATTCCTTCCTAAGTTAATTTTATTTCCTTACACCAAATCTTAATTTAGTAGCCGGAGAGCATTTCAGTAATAAAGTACCAGAATGATAACAGCATATGTTTCCAGGACAAACATTAACATATCTGCCATGTGTTTAAAAAGGAGTGGGAGGACAGAAGACCATCTATCAACTTACTTGGGGCACAATATAGTATCAGCTGCTATTACAATTTTTTTTCAGCACTTCCTCAACAAGAATTTGAGAATACTATCTTATGCCCCATTTGCTTTATCATACCACTCTGCAAATGACACAGTGTTATGAAACAAACAATACAATGGTACCAACCTCCTCTTCACCACAAGGAAAGCGATGATGAGAACAATTCCAAGCAGTCCAAAGCCAATAATATTCACAGCAACAAATGCAACATCACAGGTCACATCCAACACAGTTGCCAACCCTTCAAGAAGACATCGAGGCGGTGGTTCCTTACCGTCGGTAGGTTTACGTCCGTCTGCCGACAGCCAAATGATGGCCGAGAGGTTCAACTCCAGGCTGCATCACAAATAGCAGAGGGAGGATAGAACTTCAGTCAGTGAAGACCTATAATCTAGATGGCATAATGCAGACTGTGAATGAAATTCTGTACATATTCTTAATGCTGTTAATCTTGGTTGACAGGTCCCAACTGAATGTGTTAGGAAGGAATGCAGTCTAAGAGATGGAACTTGGCAGGGATGGGGACTATGCTGCTACAGTGGATCCCTCTTAAATATCTTAAAACTGTAGCCTTCAAAATGAAAACTAAATTAATTTTATTCCCTGTAGAAAACTAATAGAATAAACAGAATATAGCTATAAATTTAAGTAACTGCCTTAATATTTTAATGACAATTAGTCTTGCCTTATATTCTTTAACTACAAAATCTTTTATATAAACAACTCAAGACAAGTTTTTTTTCAACTGTATACACAAGTACGAAAACAGTTGCTAAATGCTCAGGCTTTCAGACATACATAGTACATGTTCCTATTGTTTTGGTTAAATTCAAGTGTCAGTTTTCAAACGTTAATTCTTTCTTGAAAAATATATACAGTATTGTCTGTTTTATTTTTGTCTCAAACAGTTTTTAAGTATAATTTTCCAGTTCCCAGAGTTTTTTTAAAACTGTCTCTGTCTGGTTCGACAGATAAAGGGTAGCAGGTGTCCAAAATGTGCACTGCTTTGCTGCAGGTCAAAATTAGTTTGCACGCTGCTCCTTCAACTTCAACATTTTCACCACTACTTTTTTGTATTTCAGTCTTCAATACTGACTTCATCATACTATGCAAACATGAATGAACAGATTTCCAGATGCCCAACTTACTTCTGAGTCATCTTTTTCATGGCAGTGTTCTGGCATTTTGAAGATTTCAGCTTTGTAGAAAAAAATTTGAGACATTTTCCTGAAAACATTCCATGAAGCTGCCAGCATGGATATGACATCACACAAGGATATTTTATAGCTTTCTTTTGTGCTTATTACTCTCTGCAAGCACTTGCATACTGTAAAGCCCTGATTATCCCTTGGTCTGTTGGCTGTAGGGCAAATGTCTTTTTGGCTAACAGAAATTCTTCCCACACATTTCTTAGCAACATCTTTAGAGTGTGTTGCACTCTGATCACAGAGCAATGAGATCCATCCATATTTGTCCATACAAACATAATAATTTTATCTACTTCTCTTGCTTCACGACAGCTTTCACCTTTGAAACCTACTTGTCCTGGGGTAAGCAGAAAAATAACCTACACTCATCAGCACTGAATATGTCCTTAAAGTCATTATCTGCTCATAAGAGACAGAAACACTCCCATCTTCCAGGTTCTTACTGCCTCTTCCTTTATATTTCTGGTCTTCATATTCAAGGTACTGCAGCTAAGCACAACACATTCTCTTATCCAATCAATCCAACCATTTGATGGTTTTAATTCAATATTTAGTTTCATAAACATTTCTGCCTAAATCACTCTATAAATACTGAGTCAGTCTTTTTCTTCTTCATATTTAGAAGGTCTAAACTTTTTTCTGCCTGGCTGATCAGTCACGCACTGCTGAAGCAGGTTTCTCTCGTTCACCATAACATTACGTTGTTCTGGTACCTTTGTGCACATCACATGTGGTTGAGCATCTGCTGCCTTAGTGATTTTTGGCTTTTCAGAAACTTATGTTACAGGCCATCTTCTTATGTTTTGTGCTAGTTTTTGTAGCAATTTTTAACACTACCATATTTATTTATAATATAATACAAATAATTTAAAAAATACAAGTCTGTACTTATTCATACAACTTGACAAGATTCAATACATGTCCAATATACGTAAGCTACTACAGGATCAACCACACAGAAGGAAAAAGAGAAATGGAAAAAGAACTAAACAGACCTTTGTCAGAAGGTTACTGCTAATCCTGCCATTTCACTGAATAACTACAATGTGTAGATTTATGTAAACATCTTTTTGTTTCTCATTCATTTCTGCATATAATATAATCCAACAAGAAACTTATTAAACAGGTAGATTGTCTAATACACGGCCTTAAAATTCCCCTTCGTAGGATATTGTTCTACGTGGGAAACATTTTAATTTGGATATAAATAAATTATTATACAAAGATAAATTTATAATACAATCACTTTAATTTTTTTGGGTAGAAAACCACATTAAAAAGATTTTTTTTAAGCAGAAGCCATTGCACTTGGATCAAAATGTGCACGTTTTTGTAACACACTATTACAGCACATATATCTCCTGCACAGAGTCTGTAAGTATGGAAATATTGTTTCATTCTTCCAAAAAAATTTTGATTTTATGACAAATATGAGAAAAGTCCAGTAAAAAATCTAATTTCAACTATGTATTGGAGAAAATGGACATATTTTCCTGCATATTATGGAAACATTACATATGACCAAATTAAAAAAAAACTAAATCGTGAAGATAATTTTAATTTTCCTACACACATCACTTGCCTCACATGACTTGTGGTCAGGGCAGGAGCTGACAGTTGGTGTACCTACATGCCACCAGATATCTCCTGACGTACAGCTGAGACATTTGGACGGAAGACACCCACAACTTGGGTCCTGTTGTTCAGCCACTGTACAACATTGATATCAGAGACTCGTGAGGCACCTACAAATCTGATTCGACCGGACACTCCATGAAAGTCGGTAGCTTCCAGCATTTCTACAAATCGTCTGCAATGTAAGAAAAGCCAGTGAGCTGGATTCAGCACAATGCCAGAACACACTGAAATGTTGAAAGACACTCACTGGGTAGAAACATTGGAGTGGAGGTCCGACAGAAGGGACTGGTCCTCTTTCACGAGGTTATTGAGAGCCAGTGCGTAGGTCCACACAGCATCATAAGCAAAGCCTGCATAGTTAGACTCACTTACATTACGCACTCTGCATAATGATTTGTACTTCTCTTGCCACTGACCCACAGTGATGTTCTCCTGCATCAGCTCCGAGTCAGGGGCAAAATATGCATGTGCCAGGGACAGGTGACCATTGATGGCCTGTAACATTTGTAAAAGACACGGTGGTAATTAACATGTCTCATACAGCCTATTCAGTTGGTTGAACCTTTATCACACAGCATTTACAAATCATATAAGCACATTACCGATATAAACGGAAAATAAAGGTTAAGTATACCCATTAAACAAAGTTTCACTTACTACAAAGGGCTACAAGATATTTCAGCATTGTAGGAAATGGTGTGATACTATGTCACGTTGCTGGGAAGGGGCTCTACTGCTTAATGTAGAACACAAGCCAATCGCTGATCTGCACAACTACCCATCATACAATTCATGTGGCTTACATATGTAAGGGCAGTAACTCACATCTACCATCTGTGCTGTGCTGCACAAGACGTTCTCCGAGTGGTGTGAATTGTATCGGTCAGTATCATACCAATCAGGTGCCAGCCACGGAGGTAGAAACCACACGTAACCGTCTTTTGCTGTCATTTTCAAGTGGTATGCCTGGCACATTACATCCCGCAATGCTTCATCAAACATGTCCCCGATAATTATGCGCACTTTTTTGTTCTTCAGCTCCTCCAAGTACTGCAATCAGAAAGGAATAAAATCCTAACACTAACAGCAGCAACAAAATTTTACCACATACCGCAAATTTAATGTTGCCATGTGTCATGACTCCTCTAATGTGAAATGGAAGAATGTTAGATAATGACATACCCTTAAAATTTTTGCATTATCATGAAACAGTTTCCCATTGGATGCTCTACCTTTGCCACCCAAACAAGTAATGTCAGCGAAGCAATGCACTTGATAATAACTTTTGTTCAACATGCAGATTGCTCTCAAATGCTTGGGTAAAAACATTTAATGAAAAGGTGCCACCAACAACCTGGTGTCACCTCATGTAAACACAAACATCCATATCTTTCCTCTGTGTAGAGAAAACTTCCCCTACTTTAAATCTTGTTGTCCATACAAAGATGCCATATATAAAAGTTTCTACACATATACATGTAAAATTTAAATTAGTACATATTTATGATACTTGAAAGTCCACACCATTGTCATGTCTCTATTTTTAACATTTGCAAGATATACAGAAAACTGAGATGTAGTACAGTAAACATAAACACAAGAACTTATAAAAAAATTCTGATGAACAAATGCAAAACAAATAGCGTCTTAATCAGTTTAATGAGTTTGCCTGATTAACATACTTTAACAACAAAATTTGTAGTGACCATCATAAAGTGTTGACAGTTACGTAGAATTACTGTATTTATCCAAATACCATTTTCACCTTTTTAAAACTGTTTTTATAAAAGTACTGGATGCATGCCATATATGAGAATTCCATTTGGGTAGTACAAAGTGCTATATAAAGGAATATGCAACACTCAGCAGAAAACATGGCAACACTGTTCACATTAGCTGTGTCAGCAACTGGGCAAAGAGCTTGAGCTTCAAGCAGCAGTGGGGTACTGTCAATTATCACTGCAAAGACAGACCTTGTTTCACAAAACATCCTCAACTATAGTTTTTTTTAATTTCCAATAGGTATATATTGGTATTAGGGTAAACCATAATTATTTTGTGTGTGTCGCATTGCTAGGCATCTAAACTTGCCTTGGTTCATTATATGAGTAGGTTATTCAATGAGATGGCAAAGCAGGTAATCACTGGTCAAACACAATCCATGTGGCAGTGTTTCTGTTACATGTGCACATTTCTCATTGTGTGTGTACAACAAACAAATGTTATTTCTGACAGTGGAATCGGGTACAGCATTTGCAGAGCACATCCTACTGAACCACCCCCTTGAACGCTACTTTAAGACGATAACATTAAAGACTCAAACATATAAAGCTCTTGGAAATGAATACATGTAACTGCAATGATTTACTGCCCATGAGAAACTAGGAATTTTAAGATAAAGAGCAAAAGGGGAAATACAAGGTAGTCAAAAATTCTGAAATGAGCGAAGTTACATCTCCTACAAAACAGTGGTCACCAGCAGGATTTCTGTAAGCAAAAGCCACAATTTATAACAGTAAAAGAAACATTTTCATCGCATTTGAATGAGAAGCAGCAGATAGGTTATGCATTGTCACATGAAACGTGCCAGTGAAGGCACTAGAAATCCGAGGCTTCCAAGCCTGGTACATACATAGTCTGAGGCACTGACAATGAAGCGATGAGATGATTTTTGTCAGCAGAGAAAGTAAAAGTTGAAAATAGTGGTAACTGCACAGTATCTTACACTTTTATTAATTTTTCATGCCACTGCAGTTCTAACAACCATGGCAGGTACTTATATAGACCTCTAGATTGGGACTAGGCACATAATGCGATTTATCATATTTGGATTTTCAGTAATAGTTTTGTTAAAATATATTTTTTTTAAATGTGTCTTTTTCAGAGGTGAGTCATATTTGGATAAAATTGGTTAATAGAGTTATATACCTATTAAATTCAATGGCAATCAGTCAACTGGATCAATTGACTGATGCTGTATCAAATGGAATAGAGAATATTTGAGAATGAATAAGACAAGATTGTGAATGGTGTTTGGATACTGTCTGGAGAATTCAATCAGGAAGTTAAAAGGTGATTAGTCAGTGTAGCTGAAAGAATAGTGGACATACCATACCTTGAACATAGTGGCCTTTCCCCTGTCACGAGGAAACTTCCTGTTGACAACAAATGTGATGCCATTGGCCTGCAACAGATCCTGCATGTGTGATATGTACTCTGTGTACTTCTGTCCATCCTCGGTAAGGGCTGCCATCTGCTCCCAGCCCAGCTGCTGGAACAGCTGTAAGTACACAAACCTGGAACAAGAATGACAATGAGGCAAAAACAGAAATTTTCTGTTCTGAATGTACTATTATTGCCTTGCAAGAAGGCACAAGGTATGTAATATTAGGGCAATATCACATGCAGCTGGATAAACTGTAACCACTTCTCAAAAAATTTCCTCATGTTACTCCTTGAGCTTAATTAAAAGACGTCTTAAAACACCTGAGTGTCTACGGAAACAATAAACTGTAAACTGACTAGTAACAAACACTTGTTACTTACCACGCTAGAGAAGTAATTTTTTTAAACAAAATTAAGTTGTAATTTCAAATTACAAATTTTGAACTAATTTCTTATCCAAAATGAATGCAAAATTTAACTCTCACCTGATGTTCTAAATCAGGCACATTTTACAATATTTCCAAATGAGTATTTTCTGTAAGCATTTTCTCAAAAGAAAGAAATGGAGGGAAGCTTGTAATGTTGAGGAAGTGCACTTGACACAGTATATTGATATCACTGTATGTTCTATAAGTGTCCAATGCTATGTTTTGATCCAGTAAATATTAAACAATATGTCACATTATTGAATTTAATAGAAGTAGATTAAAACAGTTTATAAAAGACCACTTATATCAAATGGTTATAAATAGTTTTTGGCTTGGGCTGTATTATAAACTGTCAATATTAAATAAAAAAAATCTATATCAGTACTGCTTAGGAGTCCAAGTTTACATTTTAAGAAGTAGCAGTCCAAATCATCTAATATGGAGCAAAATTCACAAATACGAGCAGTATTAAATTTCAGTGAGCGCCAATCATCATCATTTGTACATATGGGCAGTTATACTGACTTGTACTGAGTATTCTCTCCAATGGTCCTGAAGAAGTAAGGGTACTTTCTGCGGTCTGAAAAGCTGGATCCCTCAGCACTATAGCTGATCACCACTGTGCGGAAATGCTTTGTGACCCCAGCCAGAGGCTCCACGGTGTCAGAGCATGCTGGACCTGCCACAAGACCTGCCAGTGTACTCACAATCTAACGTCTCACTTTATCCACAAGGTGAGATTTCAGGTTCTCACAGTGGCAAGTATGAAAATGATGATGAGTAAATGGAGAAATTCATAATTTTAAAATTCACTGTATACCAAATTCAAAGAGTATCTTTAAAAAAATACCATGCAAAAGATGCCCAAATTTAACAGCAGTAACATTTCCGTAGACAGCCACTATCATTTTAATCACATGTTCATTGACACAGAGCATATACTCCCATTTAGGGTGCAGAAATGCTTGTCTTCATGTAATGTACCCATTACTCTTGACTGGTTTCAATTAAAACAGAAAGACTTAGCAGTATTTTTAATAAACCTCGCCAATATAAAATTTCATGAAAATGTGTTTAGCTGTTAAGTCACATAGTATTAGAAAGACTGGAGAAATATTCAACTCCTTAAATAATGCCAGCAATTACAAAATATGGAAGAGAATTTTCATATTTTAAATTCAGTGTATACCAGACACAGAGTGAAAATCTTAAAAAATTAACCATGCAAATGATGTTAAACTTAATTGCATTACTGATATACTGATGTGACATGTCGCCACGTAACATACACGCCTGGCATATTCAGTAAACAAATGACACTGAGAGGTTAAGATTGCACAACTCTGTTGACCTTCATATAAATGTTTTTGCAATATGGATCTGAAATGTCTGAAAGTTATTTATAGTCTCAGAAGTTTGTGTCAACAGCATGTTGGTACATTTTACGCAGATTTTTGCAAAGAGATACGTATTCACATAGTTATTTTTCCATTCAGTTGAGACACAACAAACGGCATAACAAAGCTAAAGCAGAGTAGATGAAGAACTGACTTGTCTATAACACTCCATTCTCCGACTGGCACAAATGACTAAATCGCACGAGGCTTATTTATAATAAAATGGAGAGGTGTACACTTGATACACATTTTCTAAGTGTATCCTTTGCTAGTATGAATACCTCAATGACCTTCATTGTCATTTATAGCAGATACAAATTTAAAATTACAAAGTTCGTTGCATTACATCAAATCCGGAATTATTTTTCATTCTCTTTCGTTAAATATTAATCATATGAAAACATATTTAAAATAGAAGTTGTATGCCTTAATGAGATCTTTTATGTGATAAACTAATCTTAGCCTTTATCTTATATGAGACCCATACGTTGGGCTTCATGCATTTCAGTTCTCATAACCACAGATTGTTTGAATTATGTTTCTCACCCAAAATACCAACAAGCTTCTTGTACACATTGAACAAAACATAGTAGATGAATGTCTTCATGACAGCCTCTGCCTTACATTCCCCATTGTTCACCTTCATCTTGAGGTTGTAGTCTCGCAAAACACTGTCATTTGCATTTACAGCTTCCAGTGCCATTTCAGCAGCTAAAATCAACAAAACGTAAAACAGAATCCAAAAATGCAGTGACAATTTGAACATCTTATCACTATTGATTAATGGGTTTAAAATTAGCTCACTTCCATCAGCATAATGAATAAATCACACTTAAACTTGAAAACAAAACTTAATGTACTAAACATTTCTCCAGTATAGATGTAATGCTTAAACCATCATGACTCACTCTCCTGGAATTAGTTAAGTTTCCTCGACACCAGATGCAAAAGTTAAACTGCCATGATACAGTAAATGAAACCTCATTTATGAAAACTGGGTATACCACATAAAAGTGGAATTGGTATTAAAGTACAGGAGGCTTCATGTTCTGTATTCTATTCCTTACGGCATGGAGCACTGCTCACCTCTTACTATTCCCTTGGCAATGTAACTGGAACCACTGATGGGGAATATCCCTCCGATATATAATACATTCTTTTCATCACTGGTCGGGATCCAGGGCAACCAACTTTCTTTGTTGTGCACTAGCCACTCACAAGCAATCTTGTCCACAGCACCGGGCTGCTGATTGTATCGTGCCAGCAAGTCATAGTAATTATCACGTGAGAAGGACATCTTGTGGACAGCCTGCAGCACATAATTTGAACCTGACTTGGCTGTTTGGAAGATGTTTTCTGGTTCGAACTAAATACTACCAAGAGCAAACATTACTTTTGTACATGCAATTTTTTTCGAAGTTAGACAGGATCTGAGGTGTTGCAGATTAGAATTTAGGAGCACAGCTTAGAGCATCAATATCATTCAATTACACCAATGTAAACTGCTAAGAAATTTGAAGCAAGGTAATTCAGTATGAAGCAACCTGATAGGAGAACTGTGACAATGCATCCTACTGATATACCGTTTTACCTCATATGCTGGTTTGGCTCCAATCTCGAGCTCAGACCACACCAGTTTCACAAGACGCTGGAGCTCGTACTTGCAGCCAACAATGTGAGAAGACTGTAAAGTCTCACACGGAGGGAAAACAACACTCACAAACTTGCTGCTACCCCACATTGTAACAGTGCTTGGCACACGACTGAGCAGAACAAGGGACCGGTTTGCCTTCTCATTCATGTAGTGGGCCATCAGAGCATCAGTAAGCCACTTGAGGTTTGGACCTACCCACACAACCTTTACAAACAGTTTCATCTCCAGAATGTGCTGCACCACAAAACTCGTCTCATCTAAATGAACATCACAAAATGATAAATAAGCAAGACGATGACTGTAATATCTGAATGCATATCATATGACAGTTACTAAAGACTGTAAATGTAAGTAAAATATCTAAAATGTCCATTGCACAGTGACTAGTGAAAAACAGGGAAGTTATTAGACAATCTAAATGCTCATTATATGATGTTTATTAACGAGCAGGACTGTGACTAATATAGGATGGGTTCAACCTTGTCTAAATATGTTGTCACATTATTACTGATCAGGAAGAGGACCACAGTTAAAGCAGCGGGGGTTCAAAACAGTACGACACTCACCAGGATGGCCTGCCAGTAGGACTGCACAAGATGTGTTGCAGTAAGCAGGTGTGAACAGGCCTGTGACGCAGAAACTCTCCTCACAGTAGAACCTGCTAACCCACATAACAAACAGCTCCAAGTTTCAATCAACCTTCCAACGTCTCTAATTCTTCAGGACTAGGCAACACCTACCTGTTTGTTGCATTGAGTCTTGTGAATGCTTGCACATAGCTTAGATCCTTGTCACTCATGCTGAACAGGCATGCAGTGCTCTGGTCAGCAAATATGCGCCAGTGATCCATGCCTGGTACCAGATGTGCCAAAGTTGATGGCACAAACCACCCAAACCTGCAAAAAGAAAAGCCTATAGTGGAGTTCCAGAAACTACAATTAGCAGCTCAGCTTCAAGCAGCTTACCTTCCTGCAGGAGCCACCATTCCACAATCCTTCACTTGATATGCATCTGTGAACTCTATGAGATTGGTATCAGGGGAAATCCATACTTCCAGGTTCACCACTGATGAAGGAACCCTGCAACAGTACATAGCTTATACCAAGCGTCACAAAATGGACAAAGATAATAAAGTAACTCTGCAATCTGCCACTCACGCCAGATTGGTAAGTGGCCCACTCAGCCTCTGCACTGTGCGGGTGGTGTTGAATTGATCATCCTCTTCCACTGTGGTAACAAAGGGGTATCCTAGCACCTCCTGCAGGAACAGCTTGAAAATTTCAGTTGCCAGACGGTGTGTGATGCGTCCTGAAACCTCCAGCCTTAAGTCCAAAACATGCCCCTCATAATGGAAATACCGTTTTGGGTTCACTTCTGTAATTAAAGCCAATGACATGGTGACATTACCGGCATGTATAAGGGCTCATAGACTCACAGCAATGGTTTGTATTCACTTTAGTATGTTAGGCAGCACAAATTAACTCAAAGATCCATAAAACTGATTCACAATCATTTGGCATGTTGCGGATACAAGGCTGAACTCGCAAACTCAAAACACTGGTTCGTGCTCAATTAGTATGTCAGTGAGCCTCCCCGGGGGCTGCCACCTTACTGTGGCGGGGAGGTTTGTATGTCCTGTTAGGACCCTGAGAGCTATGCTGGCGGGAGCTTAAGCTCCTGGTAGGGTCACCCAAGCCAGACAGGTCGAAGGGCAGGGACCAGACAAAGAGCAGCCCACTGGTCCTCCAGGTTGGGGGTTGGGGCATTAGGCTGACGACCTGATACCCAGAAAATATTACATTATCCAGAAACCCGATACGGGATGCCAGAGCCCACCAAGGGCTGTAGTGCAAGAGGAGAAGAAGAAGAAGATTATGTTGGTGAGACACACACAAACATAAAAGCACATTGCACTGGTTCATATTCACCTGGTATGTCAGTGAGGCACCGGGACTGGGCTCTTGTCACAAACACAATTCCAGCCAGCAAGTGGTACAGATGCATCCTAACCTTCAAGAGATACTGGCAGGATGCCACACTAAAACAGCACAGAACACTTTCTGTATGGGACACCAAGAGCAAATATAAAGGAGATTATAATTTAGATTAGCTGGACACAGTGACAGTTCACATCATGAGAGTACTCTCTTTGGATACTGCCCTTTATTTGGATAACAAGACACATAACACTTTAAAGCCTGGGTGTCTTTTCATCATAAAGTAGAAGAAAATGTTAGTGATGTTACTTGATCTGATGGCCTCATTCTATGCTATGTTCTGACACTATCGATTTGTCTGATTGACATAGACGTAGATGTCTGGTATGTTCTTTGCATTTAGTGTCAATGGACTGACCTGTCTATACTACATACACATACATAGGACACGCATCTCTAAGTCTATACCAAAAACAGCAGATTACATGGGCCAATTAGTTACAGAAGCAATATAAATAACTACATCCAAATAACAGGCACTGTGAAAGTTTTAAATTTTACAAGACTGTGTAGGTTTTACTTTGAAGCAAGAAATACACTGGGTCACATTTATGAATGTGTTTGATAAAGTTAGTGAAAATGTAAATGAATCACCTCACTCTGCAGCAGGGACTTGAAATATTCTGGAGTTCAGAAATTTATATTGTGCATTCCTGAAACATTTCTTCATAACCACAATATGGTGGCAATTCCAAGTAAACCCTGTTAAAAAGAAAAGTGCTTTAAATTTTCCAGGTCCCAAACTGGAGGTGTGCACTTCTGTATTATTCCACCTATATGGTTCAAAACTTCTGTGTGGAACTCATACCAAAAGCAATTGGAAACCAAAATATGCAGATAGTAATATTTTAAAGAGAATATGTAATGGTTGATTATCTGTAAAGCTCACACAATCCAGTAACTTGTTAATGAGCAACAGGTAATTTTCTTTATTATACACATTATCACTGTAACACGCATGCCACACGCTAGAAGTGTGAGGGGACAAGTATTTCTTTTATTTTTCTGTAATCTGCTGCTCATTGAAACTTAAAGTTTCCATATTCAAATCTGACTGTAGACAAATTTTAGAAACATTTTCATTTTATAAAGTATACCAATTACTTATACAAAATATGATATAGTACATTAGCCCTTAAAATGGCTGTTCTATGGCCTGACATCTTCAATAAGATGTCCAGAATTCCTAAGCCTCAACCATGGATTTCATTCATCTTCCTATGGACCCAATTAGAAATTCGACATTACATTCACACAAAACAACTTTGCTGTCTTTCCACCTTTATTTATTTCATTGTGGTTTACATTTGTTATTTCTGACTTGTTTTTTCGAGTTCGATGCCAGTAGGCCTATGCTTGATTTATGTAACAGAGATATGGAGTGCATACTCCGATGAAGGATAAACCAAAACGCAACTAAGAAGGATTTGACGTTTTCATGGCAGTGAGTTTGAAAATGGCTGTCTTCTGGGTTGTAGCGCCATGTAGTCTGGTAAACTTCCACCAGACTACAAAACACAACTGTCACTTCCTGGCTCTTGGTAAGAAATGCTACAATATAATATCAAATGCAATTTAATTTTATTGTTTTTATGGAGTAATATTTGACTTCACATGGAAAAACTTTGTAGTACTTGGTCATGAGTCATGCAGTCCCTGCTAGGAGCTAGGAAGTGACAATTCTGTTCCAGTTTTATCAGTGAATACGTTGTATTAAATTTTAATAACGCCACTGTGTGGTCACAAACACTGCTTTCCTTTTCCGTCATCCATAAATATGTCTTGATATTTGATGGTCCCACTAAAAGGAATTTTGGGTTTCTTGGCTGAAGAGGGGAACCTGGACACATGAAGGAGAAAACAGCAAATGGCCTTCACAAGACAAATGATTTGCCTGTTATTATATTTTCATTACGTCAGTCCATCCATGTGTTTGTAATAAGACTGAAACTATCTCATTTTGATAAATACCAGTATGAATGTTTTCATGCCAGGTTTCGATAAACTTTGTGTATGAAACTCATACTGTATAGGTATTATTAACTGTTAAGTTTCATTCACTTCAATTTGGTTCAAGGGTCACTGTACATAAAGGCCTAACTGAATTTTTATGTATACTTTCCAAGCCCTTCAATAGATTCTGATGCACAACTTTTATTCACTTTATCTCATTCAAAGGATTACTTTATTTAAAGGCAAATTTTGATGAAACTCAACACAGAGAACTTAAATTATTTCTTTAACTCAATTTAATTAGGCTTAAGGGAAATTTTATTTACAGGCCTAATCAAAACTCCTACATATTCCAAGTCCTTTGACAGACTAATAAAACTTCATCTGAAGCAGCATTTTTGTATGAAAAAAATTAACAAGTGAAAGTTTTGCTTTTTTTTAATTCTTAGGGATATTTTCCTCAGTGAGCTAAATAAATTTTCTTTTGACATCCTGTGACAGATTTTTATGACATATGAGTATTAATATATCACTTTTATTACCTTTAATTTGTTTCAAGACCCACGTAACCTAAGGCCCTGAATGCACTTTTGAATGTATCTCATCAAGTATTAATCTTACGGAAAAATGTCTTTAATAAAAATTATAGGGAATCATCACACACACACATTTTACCATACTTCTACCTTACACAATATTTGCATAATACTGATTTAACAAATCACAAAGATAATAAATAATATATATATATAAAGTGTGTACCATCAAAAATATCCAGCCTCCTGCTGTCACCCCGTCATATAGAATAAGTCCGCTTGATTTACAGTGCATTGCATTTACCTAGACAACAGACAGATGCTATACATAAGAGAAATGTACATTTTAATGATGTCCACAGATACAAACACCTGTTCTTCCTGATGATAGCTTACAGTCTTGTATTACTAAAAGCGACTAATGCCAGATAAATTGTAGCAACATACAATTGTCTGTTGTGATCTTCTGGAAGACCATCCAGAAGACATGCCACCAAAGACATTATCACCAATAAGGGAAACTAAAATTTCACACACAAAATTACTTCCGAGCTCATATTCTACCCCTAATACTTACACCGTTATGCTCTTAGCACTAACTATAATCAACACTCATATTACAACTATGCATTTCTATGAGTGCACCATCTTCAGGTAAAGGCTTCATTTAAACAAAAAACAGATGTTATCAAAGGTATGTTGCTGGTAAAGAGCATTTACATCAAAACCCAGCTCACAGACAGTGACAAAAGATGAGCATTCAAACAGGTGTCATAACTATCACCTAAAATACTTAAACATTCTAAAACCTATACATTATGCACAAGGGACTGTAATGGACACCCATGCACTGACCTACCTCTAACTACAAATTATTTCTACTCTAGCAGTGGACAGCAGGTAGTAATGATGTTGTTGGTAGCCCGTCCATTGCTTTGTTTTGTGCTAGCCAAAGGAAACTGGTGTTTCAAGTCACATGCTCGCACTAACTGGCTCAACCTTCTGGACAACAACATCATTACTACCTGCCGTCCACCACCAGATAGCGTGCAACAAGGGAATGGACTGGTTATCCAGCAACCCTGAGGACAAGAACAGAGATGGTTCTCAAAACATTGGCAGATTTGGTTTGTTCTCTGTTCAGCCTTCTGACGCGGCTTGCCTGAAAGTAATTCATCAACTTCAGTAGCTACGAAAGCTTCACTTCATATTTCTACTCTAGGTGATATTTCAGGTTCACATGGTGGTCAGTGAGAAGATGTCTTTTAGTTCCAGTCTATTCAAGACATAACTGCTGAACACCATACCTGAATTCATAATGCATTGACTAATTGCAATTATATAGTACAAAGAAGATATTTAAGCCACCTTTATAAATTTATCATTATGACCATGCTTGCTACATGTCAATATAACTCCTAGAAGGCGAATGGAAGACTCATGAGTCACTATGCAATACATCAAATTACTGACTGGTGTCAACCAATTCCATGATGCAGAGTCCTTTTGGCAAATTTGTTACACAGTAGGTCAAGAATTTCCACTTTTTATGCAACTTTTAAGTCCATTACTGGGATCACAGGATTCCATCACTGGTCCCTATCCTAACCTAAATGAATCCAATTCACAGATCAGACAAATGTATACAATAAATGGAGGGACATACATAATCATAATGACACAAAAGTTCTTTGGATATTTTCCTTTGTCTAGTAAAATAACAAAATAGAAAACAACGTTTCGGAGATGGGGCTCTATCTCCAGTCCAGAGATAGGGATTAGCTCTATTTTTGGGCCTAACAGATTAGGTACCTGAAGACGGAGATAGAGCCCCATCTCCGAAACGTCGTTTTCTATTTTATTATTTTACTAGACATTGGAAAATATCCAAAGAACTTATTATTTGAACATAAATGGAGGCATACAAGACATAACTGATGCACAATCCACCACAAATAGTGTGCATTTCATTTTCAGTACCACCCTTTCCAAAACGTTTTACTTTCATATTAAAAAAATTTCTGAAGTAGTTGTTTTGGTACTTCGTTGATGTGTGTCTTGGTAATTTCATTCGATACTTAAAGTTCTGTCTTCTTTGTAGGATTTGATGTTCTCACTGCGATGAGTATGAAGATGGCTGTCTTCTAGGTTGTAGCACAGTGTATTCTGGTAAAAGTTTACCAACGTTTCAGAGGTTCTTGCTGCCTTCATTATCAAGACTCATCAACGTAATGACGTAGGCAACAAGAAAATCTTTTCCATCATACACCATACACGGCACCACCACCCAGAAGACAGCCACCTTCCTCTAACTCCTTGATTAGTGGCCACCAGGGACAAATTCTACATATTCTTAGCCGGTCAGGAAATTATATTTTCGACGTCAACATATACGTCCTAAAATGGCGAGATCCGTAGCCCAAAAAATCGCAACAATGCCCTAATATTATTGCATTATTGCGATGACCAATAACATGCTAAGGAGAACACCATCACATTATCGTGAGCGGGAACTGCAATTTGACTCTGTTTTACCTGTAGTTTTTGTGATTACATTACACAAGTATATAAATTAAGGCCAAACTCCTGTCAATAACGTAACGATTGCAGATTTTTATAGTGCCGACAATCCAAGACATAAATTAGTTGTCATGTATTCGTTATGTTGACTTACTCTACACTGACAGAAACACAGCTGAGCAATGAACAGAAACAACTGCGACACAGAACCTCATGATACCTTGTACAGCCTGTAGGGCCGGCTAGCTATTTACAGCAGCGCTCGGCCTTGACTTGTTTACGTGATGACTTGCGGTCGACAGATCCTCTGCCTGGCAACTAATGCTTGCTGTTGTTTTCTTGTTGATTGACGATTGATGATTGAGACACGAACCGGCGACCTCCTGACCCCGACCCGCTGCAACGTTGTCAGTTTGTTACGCACTGCCTCACAACACAATACATCAGAACCGTTGGACTTAACCATAGATACATCCAAAACTTGTCCCATGCCTCACACGTCTTCTACTGTTTATCTACTCTCTGCAGGCTAAAATCATGGCTACTAGGCGGTGGGTCGGCAATCTAGCGATCCCTTGTACCAACCAATTAGATACGAGGCACGCCCCTCTCAAATAACGATAAGGCGTTCCGCCCTCCCATCTGGTAATGGGGCGTAGGCACGCATTAATTTTGAAACTAAATATGACACATGCACACCTTGTGAAGAAAGATGAGTTGTGTTCATATGATGACTGAATAAGAATCATGCACACTTGATAGGTGATGTGATGGTAGCTAAGAACAGACACACACCTGGTACTGCATGCAATTAAAGATGCGAGATCTACACAACTAGTAAATATGAGTCACCCAGTAATGAAGGAGAACTCCTACACCTCTCTCATAATTAACAACTTAGGAAATGTACACATAGCATAAGAATTCTAGCATATTTGCCAGGTCTTCACCATCAGCTAGGTCCACACTCTGTCAATCTGGCATACAGGCAGCCTCCTATCCAATGGATACTGGGGTCTATTCCCTAGGGTAAACTGCAGCTGGATGTGACACTGACCACAAACCCCCACCTAGTGCTGAGGTTAAGAATGAGTACGAGCCAAACTTTCTCTGCTCCCAAGGGCCTACATGGCATATAATGGGACAAATTTACTTTACTTTGCTCCATATTTAGCACCTCACAAATTTCCAAACACACATTCTGTTCTTGTTTGAAATTATGTTTACCTAATTTAAGTTTCTTATTGATGTTTGAAATGTGTCTTGGGATAGAGTCCCTTAACAAATAAATAAATTATTAATGCATATTTATCTTACCTGATCATAAAAACTAACAACTTTTCAGCAGATATCATAACTGTGTAATTAGTTTCTGGTCCACAAACATTATTCGCTAGTTTCTCTAGAAAAAAGTGCCAAATGTATTTGTCACAGATTGTCAGAACTCATTAAACTTGTTGGGATCAAGACTTACATTCCTGTACAAATGACAGAATTCTCCCTATTTCTCTGTTAACTGAAGTCATGAACTCATTTACATTTCTTTGTCCTGCATGACAATTTTAATTAGCATTCTCCAGTAACATCATTTTTCTTATAAATGATGATAATGCTGTCTCTCACTGCAACTTTACAGGACAAATTAAAGTAGTGACAGCTTAAATCATTTGGTAGGAACAGACAGTAAGCATAGCTCCTGGCAAAGTATTTCACACTATATGTGACACAATAGGCAAAGCATGTTTGGTATGCAAGTATGGACAAGAGGTAGGTCTCTCTGGTAACCAGTGACATTTGTTAAGGATGAGGCAAGTATGTCTGGTAACTAATAATGGAATTGCTTGATTTGTCAGGTTGAAACCTCACCTGAAATTTTGCTCATTTACAAACCCTATCTAGTAATGATTGCACACAAAATTTTAAATGTTGATATGCTGTGCAGTGGCACAAAAAAAATATTCAAATTTGGAATACACAGTTCAAATTTTTGTCAAGACACACACATGACGGCAGTGTACCTAGCAATGGCACTGTATTCCCCAATGTATTCAAACAGAGTATGTTGGTCAGAAACTGATAGTAAGGGGAACTCCGTATGTCATGCACACACATATATATTGAATAAGTATGTACACATACATCGGGGCTAGGCTGATGTACATATTGAGCTACAGTTTGGGGCCTTACAATTTAAGGGGACACAGAAAACTTCTTTAGCATATAAGTTTTTTTTTTAGTTGTCAATCCTAGGATTGGCTGGCAGCCCCATTGCTGGGCTTTTCTTGCGAAGGTACCACGGTGGTTTCGCCTTGCTTTCCGTGGCCAGTCATTATCCATCAGACTGGAAGAGAAAGGACGCAGACAAACATCCATGCCTTGAGTGAGACTCGAACCCAGCGGCCAGGCACACGAGATCCATGCCTCAGACCGCGTGGCCATTGCGGCCGGCATTTAAATTTTAGGAGGCATAAATTTATATTGGTAGTTATACATAGAAAACAGAAACAGCAAAACAGTTGTTATATCTAAATTAATCTATTGTGCAAACACTGTTTACCTTAAGGTATGTTTATATACACTACTCAATTTGTTTTGTCAACATGTCTATATAGACTTGAAGGTTTACACCAACAGATTTTGTCAAAGGAACCAAGTTCAGTACACAGACCAAGATGGTGTTATTATGATCTGTCGTGCACGTTTGTACTGAGTGTGCAATGTATGAGGAAGAGAAGAAAGTGTAGAAGTTGGCATAACAAACAAGGCATTTTCCTCTGCTTAGCAAGCTTGTCTTAATCTGTGCAGACGTAACTGGCCTGGTGTTACAAATGTTTGAGGTCGCAGATCAATGTAACAAGTATTTCACAGCTTTATCAGTGTCTGGCTCACATACTTGGTTTGAATGTGCCAGGGAATACAGCGCCACCGCTAGGTGTGCTACCATCACGTTTGCAGCGGCATCAAATTCAACTTCACATTCAAACTTTTGGAAAGTTTTTCACAACCTCGTACCATGTATCAAGAGCTGAAATTTTGTGTATAATTCTTACTAGATGAACTCTGTAAATTAGCAAAATTTCAGGTTCACCTTCAATCTGACAAAACAGACCATTCTCTTGTAAGAATATAAACAACAGGAGGTATGTGAGGATAAGCAGCACACACACCTACTAGTAAAAGGCAAATGTTAATGTCCACATGACAAAAAAACAGAGAGAAGGCCCATTAGTGGTTCAGCCCGGAACAAGTTATGTGGAAAGATGGAGGCAGCCTATGCAACGATTGCAAAATAGATCCTTCGGATGATGAAGGAAGTACTGATCACGAAAGACATAATTACTTCAATAAATTTATCAAGATAACGCAACCAGCTGTATATAGCAGGAGGGAGTGAGAACCAAACAAAACACACATATACACATACCTATGTACACAAATATCACAGTAATTTCATTTCAAAATAAGTTAGCCTCAGCATTTCACAGCTCATCTTTGTGCAGCTCTAGTCTTGCAGCCAAGGATGACACCTGCTGTGCAAGGTCAGTGTAATAGTAATGCCCATCAGAGATGTTGCGAGTCTTCTTTTCTAACTCCTCACGAGCTGCAAGCTGTTGGTACCACCACTCTAGACCAATGACGATATCTCTTGCGTCTCGGAACCTGCAACATATTCAGTTTGCTCGCTAAACGTATTTTTTACCATACGTAATTCTTGGAAGGTCAGTAAGAAAGATATTTGTATTGACACAAACTTTCTTAAAAACTGCAAAATAATTACCCTTTCATCTCATTTAATTAACAAATGTTTATATACAGTTTGATAGGACCTTTTAACGTATAAAGTGAAGCTTTCGCGGCGAATGAAGTTGCCACCTGACGCTGCTCATAACCCGAGAGTCTTTCATCATAGGACCTTTTACTTCCTATATGTGTTTCTGTGTTACAACAGATACCAACCTGTCCACACAGACATCTGAAAGTGCTAACATGGCAGCCACCACTTTCTCAATTATATCGTGTTCTGGCCGCACAGGAAGTTCTTCTACTACGGCAGAGCTCAGATCATCCCTCCTCTCAGCACGCTGTGCAGTGCTGGGTATGGCATGAAGGAGGTGTGGCAGGAGCGCGCACCAGCCTTCCTCTACCAGGAGACGTATCAGTCCTACCGCTTTGTACTGTCTTTGTTTCTCCTGAAGTTCAGCAAATTGAGATGTGCCTTTGGGTGCATCCTTCCATGCTTCCTCTGTCTCTTTCACCTCCAGCACTAGGTCATGTACAAATGTCACCACTTTCACCTGCAGTTACACAACAGCAAAAATTGGTATGCAATATGTGACTCTGACATTCTGTAAGAAAATGCAAATTTTCAGTTTGTAAACCCATGCAAGTAGCACCATTCATTGTGAGATCCTAACAAAATGTATATGGAAAAATGCGTTTTTTCTATATCTTCTTAAGTGCTATTATATACAGATAGAAAGAAATAATTTTAATACAGAGTCTGTAATCAAATGGGAGGTTAGAATATACCTGCAGCTTAAGATTTTCTTGTGTCTTACTCTGGAAAAGTGAGGCAAGAACTTTAAGCCCCCCACTAGCCACCAATTTTTTTAGAGCTGTTGGAAAACGGCGCACAAGGCAGGACAGCGCATACAATGCGCGTGATCTCACTGTGGAATCTTGGTCCAAAGACAGCACACGAAGCAGAGCGTCAATGCTTCCACTCTCCAAT